ATAGACAAACTCTTCACAAAAACCAATAGAGGGCGCTTGTCACCGAGACACAAAAAAAATATCACTTTTATTGTATTTCATTTGATTTGAGGAGCAAGTCTCCAAATATTTACTCAAACGCACTAAACAAAACCCGAATTGTTTCTTAATAGTGCGACACGGGCCCGTTTCCTTTCACCATTATAATGACTGACTGGACTGTCTTTACAAGTTGTGCTAATTATGCACAAATAGCTCAAAATTTTGCAGTGATTTTTTCAATAATAAATACATACATACTTAAGCGACCACAATATCTATCAGTTTTACCTGGCATTACAGTTTTACAACCTGTACTGAGGGAATTAATTCTAGTACAAACCATGGGCACTAGATGGGTGTAAACACATCTTGTTTACAAACCCATCAATCTTTACTGTTCTTAGATTAAAGACACTTTATTTACCGTGATTTACAATACACAAAAGCAAGACAGGAAAAACAATCTAAAACAAGATTAACATTTTTCTTACGCTGAACAGATATTTATTCATCATAGCCAGTAGAACAGTGTGAACATGCGAGATGTGAAATTAAATTTTTAATTAAATGAGAACACATGCAAATGAGACTCTGTGAGTGACTTTACTGTGACTCACTGACATCCAAGACTTTAAGTACAGGTAGTATCTTTTTATTTTCCAACAATAAAATATTTTTTTCAGGATCATAATGTAGTCTTTTTTGTAGATTTGCATATTCTATACACATTATGTACATATTTTCTTTGTAAAAAAATAAAATGGGGTCTCTGCAGGCAAAACAAATTCCATGCTCAAAATTAACTAAGTTTTTGCAAAGTTTTATTTATGAACTCTCATGAAACTTCTACATATACTGCTTTCTCTTCTTTCTATTCTTCTTTTGTTTCTCGGGTTCTTTTCTTGCAGCCTTCACAAATTACTTTCTTCTAAATTTTGTCTTTGTCAAGCCCGTCTCTTCAATTGAACAAATGGAAATTTAATTGAATTGCCCATATATTTTTGGGCATCAAAGAAAGAGTAATTTCTCTGACATTTGACATCATCACAATCTGGTGAAGTTTCAGGGCATTCAATCATCAACAGCATCATCTGTTCGGTAACCGCATGAAAACCTGAAATACAAAACAATTAACAAAATTTATATCTATTTATTTATCTCTGATCTTTTATCAGGGTAGCCCGTTCACATATAATGTGGTCTTCCACAGGGCCTTTGGCATATGAATATAAATTAATAAAACAAAATCTAGCAATTTAAAGATTTAAAAGTGTATAAAATATCAAAACAGATACAAAATAAGATAATATACCATAACCGAATATTCCTTAAATAAAAAGCGACATTAATGGGTATACAACATAAACAAAACAAATGTTTATATGAAAAAGACAATAGACAAAAGTGCCCATTAAGAAATTAAATTTAAGAATAAAATCACAAACTAGGCCATGTAAAAAAAACTGTAACTGATAAAGATAATTGTAATGCATGCCATAGGCCTAGCAAGTTTTAAAATTTATTACCCACAATTAAAATTGAATAACGTGAAACTAACTTAAGTTAGAAAACAAACATTTAGTTGACTTTGAATTCACATAACATAAACAATACAAATGAGTATATGAAAAAGACAATAGACCAAAGTGCATATATTCAGAAGTTCAATTTAAGAATAAAATCACAAAATAAGTCCGTGTAAAAACAAAAGAAAAACGAAAAAAATGTAAATGATAAAGATAGTAAAAAAAACACGATTGAAACATAATTGTAATGTATGCCATAACAAGCTTTAAAATTTATTACCCAAATTTTATAAAGTGAAATCTAAATTAGGTTAGAAAACAAACATACAGTTGACTTTGCATGCACATTCACACCCAAACCCCAACGGTAACTTTAGAATTAACAAATAAACCCATAATTCACATAGAAATTGTGGTATTTTATTTTTAGTTCAAAGAAGTTTTTTAGCTTACCTGTTACGGTGTAATCTTGATTTCCTATTCTTGTGGTTGTCACAAGAGGCATTCAAAGACTAGTCCGAGTATCACCCGTTATCCATGGAGCCATCTCCTGCCTAACGTCTGATATGTCAAAACATGCAAATTTATGCAAGCCGCGCGCCAGCCAATCAGAGTCGACTTTACTAAATCGTGACGTCATTTCATCCCGAAATCAGGACTGACGCTGTGATTGGTGAATTCGAATGCAGCGTTTTGTAATACGATAACAGCCGGGAACGCATTCACGTAACATGATACCGAGCGCCGCGACATTTTTTTTAAAAATCCGTCTATGACGCGCAACGGGCGAATGACCGAAGACCCGATAGACCTATAGAAAGCGCCTGCTGATTGGTCAAAATCTAGGAAGTCAAGAGGCGGGGTCTTGCCTAATTAATCAGCAAATCTGTTCGTGCATAATAGACCACGGCATTCGCCGTGGTCTATTACATAGACTATTCAAAGACTCCCAGAGGGAAAAATCAACTCAAAATGCGCCAAAAAAAATGCAAGTAGATTCAAATTATTGACTTAAATTATAAAACTTAAAGATAAACTTTATTAGCAGATGAAATAAGATGTTCTTGAAGAAAAAAAACAACATATTAAAAGTTTTCTTCAATATCAATAAATGTGTGCAAATTGGACTAATATTTAATACACATCATGTACCTATTTTCTTTGTAAAAGCAATTTGGTGTCTCTGCAGCGAAACAAAGTCCATGGTCAAAATTAACTAAGTTTTCTCAGTTTTATTTATGCACCTTCATGAAACTTCTGCTAATACTGCTTTCTTTTCTTTCTATTGGCTTCTTTTGTTTCTCAGGTTCTTTTCTTGTAGCCTTCATTAATTACTTTTCTTCTAAAATTTGCCTGTCTATGCAATTGGAAATTTAATTTTTGGTCTTGTGTCATCACTGGCAATGAATTGCCCATATATTTTTCGGCATCATAGAAAGACTAATTTCTCTGACGTTTGATATCACAATCTGGTGCAGTTTTAGGGCATTCAAGCATACATGTAACAGCATCATCTGTTCGGTAACTGCATGAAAACCTGAAATAAATAGAAATTACCAAAATTAATATTAATAAATTTATTTCTGATCTTTTATCAGGGTTGCCCGTTCACATATAATGTGGTCTTCCACAGGGTCCTGGGCATATAAATATAAATTAATAAAACAAAAACTAGCAATTTAAACATTTAAAAGTGTATAAAATATCAAAACATAAAGGAAATAAAATATATCATAACCGAATAATCCCTAAATAAAAAGAGACATTAATGGGTATACAACATAAACAATACAAATGTTTATATGAAAAAGACAAGACAAAAATGTATATTAAGAAGTTAAATTTAGAATAAAATCACAAACTAGGCCATGTAAAAAAACAAACAGAAAAAATGTAACTGATAAAGATAATTGTAATGCATGCCATAGGCCTAGCAAGTTTTAAAATTTATTACCCAAAATTAAAATTGAATAACGTGAAACTAAAATAAGTTAGAAAACAAACATTTAGTTGACTTTGAATTCACATAACATAAATACAAATGAGTACATGAAAAAGACAATAGACCAAAGTGCATATTCAGAAGTTCAATTTAAGAATAAAATCACAAAATAAGTCCGTGTAAAAACAAAAGAAAAACGAAAAAAATGTAAATGATAAAGATAGTAAAAAAACGATTGAAACATAATTGTAATGTATGCCATAACAAGCTTTAAAATTTATTACCCAAAATTAATATTTTATAAAGTGAAATCTAAATTAAGTTAGAAAACAAACATACAGTTGACTTTGCATGCACATTCACACCCAAACCCCAACGGTAACTTTAGAATTAACAAATAAACCCATAATTCACACAGAAATTGTGGTATTTTATTTTTAGTTCAAAGAAGTTTTTTAGCTTACCTGTTACGGTGTAATCTTGATTTCCTATTCTTGTGGTTGTCACAAGAGGCATTCAAAGACTAGTCCGAGTATCACCCGTTATCCATGGAGCCATCTCCTGCCTAACGTCTGATATGTCAAAGCATGCAGATTTATGCAAGCCGTGCGCCAGCCAATCGGAGTCGACTTTACTAAATCATGACGTCATTTCAATCCAAAATCAGGACTGACGCTGTGATTGGTCAATTCGAATGCAACGTTTTGTAATACGATAACAGCCGGGAACGCATTCACGTAACATGATACCGAGCGCCGCGCGCCGTGACATTTTTTTTTTAAATCCGTCTATGACGCGCAACGGGTGAATGACCGAAGACCCGATAGACCTAAAGAAAGCGCCTGCTGATTGGTCAAAATCTAGGAAGTCAAGAGGCGGGGTCTTGCCTAATTAATCAGCAAATCTGTTTGCGCATAATAGACTATTCAAAGACTCCCAGAGGGAAAAATCAAATCAAAATGCGCCAAAAAAAATGCAAGTAGATTCAAATTATTAACTTAAATTATAAAACTTAAAGATAAACTTTATTAGCAGATGAAATAAGATGTTCTTGAAGAAAAAAAACAACATATTAAAAGTTTTCTTCAATATCAATAAGTGTGTGCAAATTGGACTAATATTTAATACACATCATGTACCTATTTTCTTTGTAAAAACAATTTGGGGTCTCTGCAGCGAAACAAAGTCCATGGTCAAAATTAACTAAGTTTTCTCAGTTTTATTTATGCACCTTCATGAAACTTCTGCTAATACTGCTTTCTTTTCTTTCTATTGGCTTCTTTTGTTTCTCAGGTTCTTTTCTTTTTGCCTGCATTAATTACTTTTCTTCTAAATGTTATGTCTATGCTATTGAACAAATGGAAATTTAATTTTTGGTCTTGTGTCATCACTGGCAATGAACTGCCCACATATTTGTCGGCATCATAGAAAGACTCATTTCTCTGACGTTTGATATCACAATCTGGTGCAGTTTCAGGACATTCAAGCACAACAGCATTATCTATTCGGTAACTGCATGAAAACCTGAAATAAATAAAAAAATTACCAAAAATTAATATTTATTTATTTCTGATCTTTTATCAGGGTAGCCCATTCACATATGTGGTCTTCCACAGGGTCCTGAGCATATAAATATAAATTAATTAAACAAAAACTAGCAATTTAAAGATTTAAAAATGTATAAAATATCAAAACAGACAGGAAATTTAATATAGGCCTACCATAACCGAATATTCCTTAAATAAAAAGAGACGTTAATGGGTATACAACATAAACAATACAAATGTTTATATGAAAAAGACAACAGACAAAAGTGTAAATTAAGAAGTTAATTTAAGAATAAAATCACAAACTAGGCCATGTAAACAAAAATTGGGAAAAAAATGTAACTAATCAAGATGATTGTAACGCATGCCATAGGCCTAGCAAGTTTTAAAATGTATTACCCAAAATTAAAATCGAATAATGTGAAACTAAATTAAGTTAGAAAACAAACATTTAGTCGACTTTGAATTCATATTCACACCCAAACCACACAACAATAACTTGATAATTACTAAATTAATTCACAGGGAACTTGTGGCAATTTAAGTTTAAATTCAAAGATGTTTTTTAGCTTACCTGGTATGGTGAAATCTTGTATTCCTCTCCTTGTGGTCTTGACAAGAGGCATTCGAAAACTTCCAGAGGGAAAAGTGAACTCAAGTCCTTACTTCAAAATGCGCAAACAAAAATGCAAGTAGATTCGCTAAAACATCGCTATGTTCGATTTCGTTCGTTTCAAAAATTGCGCATTAAAGTTTCAACTGATCCAGTTGAACTCATGGAGACCAACGATGAACCAATTTACCATTAAAAATTCTAGCTTGCACAATTTTTTAGCCTTTTAATACAGAAAGTGTCCCACGAGTAAAGGATCTATTTACAATTGGCGAATATTAATTTAATAGCAGAGACCAATTAAAATGATTTAAATCCCTCATAATTCTTAGACTTCACTGCCCTCTTGCGACCAAAGTTACTTTAATAGGTAGGAACACAGTTGTCCGTTGCATGGAGGGTAAGAACGCTGTTGTCCCTTGCATGTAGGGTATTGTGCGTTGCATGGAGTGTAAGAATGCTGTTGTCCCTTGCATGGAGGGTACTGTGCGTTGCATGGAGGGTAAGAATGCTGTTGTCCCTTGCATGGAGGGTACTGTGCGTTGCATGGAGGGTAAGAATGCTGTTGTCCCTTGCATGGAGGGTACTGTGCGTTGCATGGAGGGTAAGAATGCTGTTGTCCCTTGCATGGAGGGTACTGTGCGTTGCATGGAGGGTAAGAATGCTGTTGTCCCTTGCATGGAGGGTACTGTGCGTTGCATGGAGGGTAAGAATGCTGTTGTCCCTTGCATGGAGGGTACTGTGCGTTGCATGGAGGGTAAGAATGCTGTTGTCCCTTGCATGGAGGGTACTGTGCGTTGCATGGAGGGTAAGAATGCTGTTGTCCCTTGCATGGAGGGTACTGTGCGTTGCATGGAGGGTAAGAATGCTGTTGTCCCTTGCATGGAGGGTACTGTGCGTTGCATGGAGGGTGAAGTTCTGTAGAAGGAGTTCCTGCCAGTCATCATCTGTTTACCAATCACACTGAACATACTGAAGACAAAGAAGCTTGGGGAAAAGGAACAACAAAATATAATTTAATTCATGTCATATGAAATCGTGAACAACACCTCTCAAGTAATGACTCTTTGACAGCTTGATAGGGTACATGTAGATTTTCAAATTTCTCTGCGAGAAAAAAATGCTCCAAGGTTTTCATCAAGATATTAAAAAAGTTGAAATATATTGAATTAGCTTCATCCATGGTACAGTGTATGAAATTTACTTTCAAATTTACAATGGCAACCAATTGAATACACTTTAAAAACACTCATTTTTTTACCCAAACACTTTATAAAGTATTTCATTAGCCCCCTCAACACTTTGTCAAGTCCGAATCTTAATTATTAAATCAATGAAAAACTTCAGTTCCAAATTGTAATGCAAGTTTTATTAAATATTTATAAATAGACTGACCCCAGAGTCATCTTCATTGTTAAAATGCATACTGTCACCTGAAAGAGAAAATTATAAAAACAGGTGGATACCCTCATATGAATAAGCCAAAGATTTTCCCGCAACACTTCAATTTGCACTATTTACCAATCCCTCTGCCCATTTCTATTTTGACCTCCCCCATCCCCAATATTATGTAAGGACAAACATGTATGTCCATGGGTTATTGTCAATATACACAGTGACATCGTCTGCGTAGTATCTTCTGCGTGGTACAGGTAATCTCTGTAGTGGTCTGTGATGGCCAATTTTCAAACAGTGCCATTTCCCTCTTGTGATGCATCTGTATGGAGAAACTGAAGATGGAAATCTAGATGATTTTAGGGTTTGCCCAGTGCTTTCTTCACCTTGTAGGTAGTAACCAGGGCAATGCATTTCACTCACTCACTCAGCTGCAATGACAGCATTGTTCTGTCGCGCCGGCCTCCTGTGCCATCGTCAAACAGCTCGGTTCCAAATGCTCTCTATCTTGCTTGGTCAATCCAGTTGATTGATCGGCCTCTGCATGGGTTTTGTCCAGCCAAAAGCTGGGGGTTTACCATTCCAGGAGTCAACAGCAATACCAAGTGCCTTCTTGGCTGGGGTGTTGTCATCCAAGCGTACAAAGTGGCTAAAAGGAAGCCATCGTGGGCAGCCGTGTTCTGGAGGTGACATTGTTATTGCTGAGAAAGTCAAACCAGAGAATGCCAAGGATGGATCTCTGACACCTAAGATGGAAGGACTCAAGCCGACTCCGCAATCAAGGAGAGTCCAGGTTTCTGACCTGTATAAGAAGACAGGGATGACACATGTCCGGCGTAGGTTACTTATCGCAGAAGATGCCAGTCCGAGCCATCTAAGGATGTCAGGTCCACTACGCCTTGTGTTGGAGATCTTACTGCCAAGGTAGATAAAGTCCTCAATGATATCCACAGGTTGCCCGCAGACCAGGATGTGGGACAGGGGGTACTTGTGATTTAGCTTCTAAACTTGGATCTTTGTTAACGCCATGTTTGCGGACTCACTCTGGAATGACTCAAAGAGAGTTTGTTAGGTCTTCGGTCTTATGACTGAGTAGGGCAACTTCATCCACATAATCCAGGTCAAAAATTGTATGCTGACCGAAAGTGATGCCTGTACCTGTAGTGGTCCTCTCGAGAATTCATTCCATGGCATGGAGGGTGCCAGGATGCAGCCCTGCTTGACGCCAGATCATGTTCGGGAACTTCAGAAACCTTTCTTCCTTGGCGCACCATGGCAGTGGTGTCAGCGTAGAGATCTCTGTTGAGGTCTAGTAGACAGTCAGAAACCCCTATACTCTGAAGAGCTTTCCAAAGTGCAGTCCTGTCAACAGAGTCAAAGTCAGCCTTCAGATCAACATAAGCCTCAGATAACGGTTGGTTTAACTCTTGGTACAGTTCAGACAGAAGGTGGAGGGCGAGGATGGCATCCACTGTAGAGCGACTGGCTGTGAAGCTGGATTGTTGTTGTCATCTGTGCTTAAGTAAGCCAAGATTTAGCCAGGCCAGGAGAATGAGGGGCAAAAAGACTTTCCCTGGGTGCTGGGCCCATAGCTGCTGCATTCAGAACGGGAACCTTTCCCTTTATGCAGAGTGACAATAATCCCTCTTTCCACTCTGCTGGTACTTTGCCCGAATGCCAGAAATGGATAAAAGGCATGGCGCTGATCAGACCAGTAGCGTACTTCAGAAGCTCTGGGGGGATGTGGTCAGGCCAGTTGCTCTGCCATTCTTTAATGGCTGATTTTACCTCTTCTAGTGTTGGGGATCGTCAGAGGTACCCGAGTTTGGACAAGGGGGAGCTGGGATGTCCATAGCTCTGCAGGGTGGGGGAGGCAGTGGTTGAGAGCAACCTCAAAATGTTCTCTTCATCTATCGAGTGTCTCTGTACGTATCCACACTGGTTTTGTTGATGGTGGAACTCGCACTGCGCTCTGATTTTGGGCGGAGTTCTTGGATACTGAGCGATCCAAGAGGGCAGATTTAAGGTTACGACGGGATAAGCTGTTATTGATGCTCTTGATAATGCTCTTTACTGAGATTCTCAAGGTAAAGTTCTCTGTCTTGCTTTGCTGTAGCTTGGAAGACTGTGGTCACCAGCCCGACATTCCCCACTGCAGACCCATCTTGATACTTGGTACGGCAATGGTGATGCCGTAATCTGGCTGGAAAAGAGTGGCAGCACCAGTACAGAGAAGTGTTTTCATATTCCAGATGGCAATACTTCAAGTAACCAGACTGCCTTTCAACAGTCCACTGAAATACTTACAAAGTGTGTAGCATTAATAACTTAATTGCCTAATGGCCCGCCAACCTACCGCTGGTCAATTTTGGTCAGAGACCTCCCAAAACACTGGTCCGACAAGGGTGTCACTTCCAAGAGCAGGAGCTTCAGTCAACAGTGCTTTCTGGTTCACCGGAACACTAGGCGGGAGTAATATGACAGTAGTTATCACTTATAACACCCCAGACCACGTGTCTCTGCCAACCACTGAAGGGGGAATGCTCAAAGAAGTCAGGGATTTTAAGTACTTGGGTCATGGGTCAACTCCACTCACAATGATATCAAAATAACAAAGGCCCGGTCAGCTCTAAACAACATAAAGTGTAGAGCATTAATATGATGAGAAGGTGAATATGAAGGGAATGTGAAGATCAGTATTTTCTTGCCTCAGACGAGTCCGTCGTGCTCTAAGGCTGTGAGTGCTGGGCCTTAACCCCAAATATGCTTGCTCCCGGTTGTGCTCAACATCAGCTAGCAAGACCATGTACCCAGCTCTGTCCTTTACGGAGATCTTCCGAAGGATGGAGACACGTTGGCCTATCTGTGGACGGGTTTAGCTGGATACTGTTATCATCGTGAACTGCCTACAAGCCAGTTCGTTCCCTGGGAGCTGCTACATGGCACTAAACAGTGAGGCAAACAGAAAACCACCTTTGTAGGGGTGATCAAAAGGGAAACTGGATCTGACAATACTAGTGATTTGTCCTCCATGCATGGGAGATCAAGACTATAGGAGGATCAAAGCCTGCTCTCTCCAACTCTACCACCTGACTGCACTGCCACAGGCTCCGGTTAATGTCATCTACACAGGGGACATTTCTGGCTGTGTTGCCTAGCTTGCAAAAATACTGCCACAGTCAACTTGTATTTACAATGGGCAAAGACATACATAATAGCAAAAAATACAATGACAGATTAGGAAACCGATAAACTTGAGGTATGTAAAACATGTACTTATAAATGAGTTGTATATATATGTTAAATAAGTTAATCATGTTCATGAGCCTTATATTTTTTTGATGTGATAGGGTACATAACATTTACGACTTACTGAAAAACTTTCCAACCCCCATGAAAACACAGAGGAGATAGAGCAGATTACCTTTAGTTAACAGCCTTCCCCCGCCACATCACAGCTCAATCCGCCCAACTGCACCACCTCCCATTGTCTTGACCAACTACCCCATTGCTTTCATTTGACATGGTGACTCTGAGGGAAAGAAAAAACGTCTTGTAATTGGTCAGAAAAGTTAAAGCGCCCTCAGATGACAGCAAAGGATGTCAGACGACAGCCAATGATGTACAGATGGCCCAGTGGAAATTCTCTTGGCGAGCAAACTTATCGTAAATTTCACCAATTCGTGTGACATTTCAGGGATTTTCAACCAGTGCCTCAGTACCTGACCATGTCAAGATAATCATACATACATTGTAATGAATTAATGGGGCTGAAATGTTCGTTCATGACAGGAGAGTTGGGAATTAAAAAGAAATTGAAAATTGTTTTCGCCGTAGCAATTTTACTTCAATACGCCTTTCTCAATTCAACACTTTCCCCTCCCCCCCCCCCCCCGGTCGGGTCAATTTGTTAATAAAACAGCAATTACTGGACTGACTCACAGTATACTAAAGCAACTTCTTGATTTTGAAAGCAAAAAAAACATGCAGCTATTATTAAACAGATAGCAACATACCTCGTACACATCCGAAATGGTATGGTTCCACACGACCACCATGCACATGACTCCTCCTGGTGATTCCGGGTTTTCTAGGGTCCAAAAACTTCGTACGAGTCCGTTAATGAATAAATTCGGAGCTAAAATACTTCTTTGGTTGCTCATAAACGACATCAAATCGTTTGTACACGCGGATGCTCAATTTAAAGAGATAATGTATCGGCTGAAAAAACCACGTAAGTTACGTTCGTGCATGCCATGCCGCCATCGAACCGCTGTTCATTGCATTTGGGCATGCGCACTACTCTGAAATTTAAGCGCGCGGATGACGGCGGTTTTTTGCGCTTGCAGTTGACGACACGTGGGAAGCGGCAAGTATTTTCGGGTGACAAGCATAGCCTACTCGCAAGAATTTAATTAAATAATAATTTACAAATCCTATTACATTGTAATTCAAAACGAAATCAAATTTGCTATGAATGGCAAGAGTGGATACATACAAGATCATAAGGGTTCACTTCACACTAGGCGCACCCTATCCATGGGCGTCGCGAAGGCCGGGCAAGGGGGCGCTTGCTCCCCCCCCCCCCCCCCCCCCCCGGAAAAGCAAAAAAAAATAGGAGAAAAAAGGTGGGGGAAAAGAGGCCCGAAGTCAAATTACTGTTAATTTAATGGGTGGGGGGGGGGGGGAAATGTCCCTGCCCAACCTCGAAAATGATAAATCGAGAATATGCTGGAAGTACAGGGATTTCGGGGGGGGGGGTGTGCTTTGTCCCCCTCTAGAAAAAATCCTGGCGACGCCCATGATGACCCTAGCATATGTCCTGATGATTAAGCATCCATGATAACTTCAGTTAACACGGGATGGAATAATATATACTGAACATTTCCTTTCTGGTTTTATTAAATTATTTGCAGAAAAATTTCATAAACAGTTTTGAAAGCCGGCTGCTATAACCTTGCAAAAAGTACAGGAGATCCCGGATGTGAGATGCTGACGTTTTCATTCTTAAAAAAAAAATCGATGTCGCCGGATGTAAATAATCCTTACTCATTGATCAAAGATTTGCAATTTATAGTTGATTTTAGATCAATTTTGGTTGGATGCAAAATAAAGGCGCGCAGGCTATAGGCCTACTCCTTTCTCTCCCGAAGGATTATTGCCATTACTCAAATATGACAAGACAGTAAACATGTTAACCAGAAACACACCAGTTAATCCGAGAGGGTAACCTACACTTCAGCACCCGTGCCCACAATGGGATGATCTTTCACCCCTTTTGTCCCGTAACTTTGGGATTTGTTACCTATTGAGGTCGAAAATCGATTGAGTCCGCGACCCTGTTTGGGGCTACAGGGGAGCTCCGTCCCTTAGCAACGGGTCACAATCACCGTACGTGCGCTAGCACCCCACACGTATTCATGCATGAAAACTATCCCAACACAAACCAGACGACCACAGACTGCGCTGCCAGAGAAACTATTTCCCCCGGAATTTTCTCTTTTTTGGAAACTTTGTTGCCACCCGAAGCCTGATTTTCTGACTGAAAAGGTAAATAACTCTAAACTTTTTTTACTCGTGATGTTAGAGTTTAGTTTTGGGGGGAAATGTGGGTTTGAAATTGACGGGGAATTTTGGTTAGTCGAGTTGGGACTCTGCAAATCACACACAAAAATGTACAGATGGTAACAGGTGCGTGCATGTACGTTTTTATTGCCTCAGAATGGGACAAGTGAATGTCGCGAGGGATTAGTAATGTTTTATCGAACGGCTATGGCGAGCAACCAAAACATTTCCTGTTAAAGTCTAACCCAACCTTATTTTTTGTAAGTTGACATAACGGACTTTGAAGCTGTCACAAACCGATTAAAAACATTGGAGGTGATTATTTGATCGACGATAAAGAGATAATTAGATTTTGTGGCGTGGAATGGATTACAGGCGAGCGGCGCGCGCGGCAACAACCGTGAAGGCGTCAGGATAAACAAATGCCAATGATATGTATACAGCTAGAATGCCCGAAGGTAGTTTAGAATTTCGTTCTAAGAAAATCCGAAGTTATTCTCTCAAAAAAATTGCAGTTTCTGTGTATGAAGCCAATCAGATATTCCTCTAAAGCAGTTGTCCGGTATCCAGGCAAATGGTATTAAAACAAAATCCTGTTAAAAGTAAATTTCTTTTTGTATTAACTTTGGAATATGTGACATTTAGTTTCCAAGCGATGATGGTTCATCCAAACATTTGTACTTCAGTGGTCCGATACATTCCACTATGTTAAATTTGAACATGAAATAATTTTAATCCAACAATCCAAATTGACTGCTGAGATCCAGTCTTTCATCTTTAGAGATTAAAACCTCAATTTATATGCAATTCTGACATGCATGTAAACTACCAATTTCAGAAGTCAAAATGTCCATTGAAAATCTCTACACACACGTTCACTGGCAAACCTTTGCTCTTTATGTCATTTATTGTCTTTTTATCACATCAGCAGGCATGGTTGTCAGGATTCATATACAAACTGTCTCCCACGTAGAATTTGCATTTGGAGTCACTTCAGGGTCCAAAGTTATGTTCTAAACTGAGAACAAGTTGAAAAATTGTCTGGGGTGGCAAATAAAACATAGTGTCAGTGTAGAAAACAGCATTATTTGGAAAATAAAGATTTTACCTGTTGCTATTAGCCTAAAGATGTCTGATGCTAGAATTGATCACACTGATTTTAAAGTCAAATATATTGCAAAATAATTCAGCAAATTTATTTGACAATTTATTAATCATCTCAGGCATGCAACTTGGAATTTTGAAAAAAAATGAGTAAACTCCAAACTACAAAAGACTCTGTACAGTATTTTTTTCAATTTTCATTGGAATTCATGAGAAGGAAACATCTAAATAAGAAAGTTTGTGAAAATTGTGCATCTTAGCCTTAGGCAAATATTATATGTAAAATCAGTGGAGGGTTATTTGTCCTCTTCACTTTTTCAGTTAAGCAGATTTTCTTATAATTTGTTCTGCAGCTTTTTTGATGATTTGAGTCCAATCTTGGTGACCAGTCTGGAAAAATGAACTTTGAAGTCATAAAATTTGTATTAAATGAGCATTGGTCTAAATTCCATTTCAACCCAAAGAAACTTGACCAGAAACCAGAACAGTGCTACCGTAAGCTGTAAGATGTAAAGTTGGGACTGACAATCAAGCCAAACTTATCTTGGAAGTTTACCCAAAGCAAAGTTCCCGTATTTACCGTTTGCAGTTTCATGTTGACTGTAGACTGGTAACTGTTTACTGTTGGGAGACAAGGCATGCACTGTATTCTTATTGTTGTGTTGGTACACCAGTGCTAATGCCTCTGCAAATAAAAACTAATGCCCTAGTGACCAACAGCTAAATATTATTTTTAAAGTAAAAAACAGGTTTTATAAACAAACAAAATTTACCAGGGGTGGAGATGTGTGCAAAGGACTGGCCTTATTGACTCTCTCTGATCTTAAAAACAAATCATTAAAAAATCTGACATCAAAGTGTACCTTTTGATTTAGTTTGACCAAGGACTTAAATTTATGTCAGAAACAGCAATCTGTAAATTTTGAGACTATTTTCCATGTGATACCTCTCAAAACTAGAAATTTGTTTCTGAAATAAGAGAAAACACAAACTTAGCATGCATTCTAAGCAATAGTAAAAAATTGTTATTTTTGCTTGACATAATGTTTTGAAATGTGAATAGAGATACAGTAGTGTCATTCTGCCACCCAGTTTAACAATCTTTTAAAAATGTATTGAATTCTGGAACAAAACAAAAAATAAAATATTTGTGAATGCAACACTGACCAAATGCAATATCGTGGATGAGAAGTGTACACACTTCACAAATTCACTGCACAACATATTGACTGCGTGAGAATTCAACACAGACAAAAAGAGTTGATTAATGAGTCTTAATAAGCTTTAATGAAAAATCGGCTTGATGATACGGCAAGCATAATTCACATGGGGTTCTTTCTTATTGTCTTTTCATTTCATTTATTTATGACTTGTATTCAATTAATTTTTCATCAACAATTTTTATTGTATTTCACTTTACATTAAGTTGGAATTTTTCTTTACATTCCGACCTGAATTTGTACCCTTTTCTCTCGCAACATACATGTATTGCTTCTTCAATAATCCAACAGTTTTGATGTAAATTGCAAAAAAAGGAAATATCATTTAGTTTGAATAAATGAATCGTGCAACCTCAAAGTAAAAATATCCATACTCATCGCAGCATTCAGAAATAAAAAAAATACTTTATATTCTTAGTTGGAAGTTGCTCACAATGAAGGAAAAAGTATATAAAAATTCAAATACTAGTGCAGTGCTGGATGTTTTGACACTGTACCAGCAGAAGAGGTTTTAGAATACATTGAGTCTCCATTTGAAGCATAAAGTGGGAGACGAGAATTATAAAGAATCAATTGTCTACTCGCAATTTTTACTGGCATTCAAAGTGGTTGAATTCCCATGATTGATATTTCTGATATGTGATAATAAAGAGCGCCCTGGGTTCAATTCTATAGACCTGTGTTTGCATTCGACTCAATGCAGAATGATTAGGACGGGGAGTTGGGTAGCATACTTCACTGTAGTCAGGGGCGTGTAGGGCCATTATGTGAAGAATGCAAACAAAAAATGCTGATTTAATACTTGACCGTGGTCGTTTTATGAGTGACGTTCGCTAGCCTTTACTGCTGAGGTCTAAAAATCAAGATATGAGCAAACACTACATGTTCATGAATCCACATGAATTCTGTGTATCACTACCATGTTTGTCATTAATACCGTGTTTGGGAAAAATTGATGAAAGATGTAGTACCACTGCTTTGCTTGTGTACAAAGTCTATGGAGAGTTAAGTGCATTTTAAAGTATTTTCTAACAAAATTGAAAATGTTTCTCAGTCCTAGATTCATGTCTTTTCAACATTGTTTGCAATGACATACCTTCATTGAGATCATAAATGAGGAAAAAAGTGGCATCAGGATGCAAAATTCTTTCCGAAATTGAATATGTGTGTGTGAAAGATAGGGGGTTATTATTAAGTAAAGCCAATAATCATTTTATTAGTCAGACTTCAAAGGAAGAGTCATCAAAGTGACTCAAATAACGACATAGCCTTTGTAATTTGTTTAGCAAACATTGTGTTTTTTGCTTTATAGTTGGTTAAAAAACAAGGCTGCTATAGCCAACTCAGTAACTTGTATGTAAGTTTGGGCAACCTACAGTTTAGCAATGCCATAGAATTGTTTACAATTGCACGTCTGCTTTTGTTACAAAATGATGATTACTTGTAAAGCTGCTAATATGTACCTGACACAATGACAGGGGAATGTTTCTGAAAGCAGTTCAGAGATCCAAAATAAGGTCCAGTAAACGGAGGGGAAAATAAATAGGGGGCAGGGGGAGTGCGCCCCCCCCCCCCCCCTGCCTGTACCCTTTGACCTATACCTGTAAAAAATCTCCCTTAAGTCAACTTTCATATTTGGTTGATATATTCATCTTGATTTTTCCAACTTGGTACTTCCAGAATCCACCCAGACTAAAGCATGCCCGTCTTCACCCCGTCCAACGGTGACCCACTGGTAGTCCGCAGCACGCTGGGCGTGGTGCCAGAGAACAGCGCCAAGGGCCACCACCTGCCGATGACCCGCAAGGACTTCGCTGGTAACCGGCCGGCCACGATGGCCAGCGCCAGGTTTGGCAATCTCAGCCAGAGCGCTTTCTTTGCCCGACACAACCCACATCCCGGCAGGGTCAGACACATCAAAGGTAGGCGCCAATACTGGCTGGGAATCGCCTGAGTGCTTTGATGGATTCATTAAAGCTAGAGTCCATCATTTGCAGCTCTCCGAAAAGTAACTGGCGTAATTATTGTTGAAAAACAAACTTGGTTGAAAGATAGTAAGGGAACTAGACTCCCTGTGAAATTATTCTTTCTGGGAAGCTGTCATTTTGAAGTAATCAACGAAAGAAGGCATTTCCAACGGTGATTCTTAAGAAGCACCGTAGGAAAATTTAAATTAGTAGTTTGTTTTGTTATTCAGCGCAGCGCGCACAAGTATTGGAACGACGCACACGCGCGCGCGGCTGTTGTAATTCGTCGGATCAGTGCGCGACGTCGCGTATAGCTGCAATTCAAAACAATTCAAAACATGATTCAGTAACTTTTGATTTGAAATTGAGATCTTAGAATGCTGTTTTTCTCGGAATGTACAGCTGAAGCTTAGCTGAAACTTCATCAGGTTAGTTGCTCAGTGTCCTTCATTAGATTTTGAACTCTTTTGTTGCTTCAAACAAACAAAATGCACAAATTACAAATGATGGACTGTAGCTTTAAATAAATAAACCTAAACAAATATAGAAAAGAATGTAAAAGATGGCAAAATGGTGCTAGAGGACCGCATTCCAACTTATTTGGTGCTAGAATAAATTCCACCTCAATATCTGTCCGATCAATGTTTTTTCGATTTTTATAAGAAATTTTGATAAATTCTCCCTAAGATTTATTTTAAGGCATATAGGATCATTTGCTTTTCATGCACTTTGTTCATTTCCAATAGTAACACCACTCAAAATCCAAAGAAGAATGTTAAACCGAACCTCTTGAAGTTTCAGCACAGTGGATATTATACTTTTGAGAAAACAGTGAAAAACAATTCTCAACCTTTTGATCACGAAACACAATTTTGTCAATACAACTTTTTATTTCCAATGATCAGTCAATTGATTTTTTAAGGTTACATTTTGGATAAATCCAGTGATGCTACATGTATACGCCTTTAAGTTAAACCAAATTCTCCATGTTTGTTTTAAAATCAGTTGCTCAAAAAATAAATTCCCTACTCTAATTGTCACTGAAAACCGTTTTTGCTTACAAAACAAGCTGTATCAATTTTTTTGTCACTCTGTTTTAAAAAAAAAAAATATGCTACAAATTTGGTGCTGGGAATGTTTGAAAGCGGATGTGGCAAATGGGGCGTTTGAAACTGGCAGGAAATCAAGCCAGCTGCCCACAGACTAACAGCGCCTGGCCGGCGAGCAGTGATGACTTTGTGGACGACGTGTTTGATCAATCGACTGGTTTGTTCCGTAGCTATCAGACAGGCACTCAATTGTGTACGTTGAACGAGGCACGCTGCAGTTTACAAATGTTGTTAGACTTTACCAATTGTTTCCTGGTTCAACAAATGAGCCCACTTTCATTTGATTAAAAAACTAAAATAGTGCTGCAAAATTATACACCTGCACAAAGAGGCAAAGGGAATTATTTGGAAGGATAAATTGCTCTGATTAGACTTGTGTTTCATGCATGATTGCATGTAGGTAGCTTAAGGGAAACTGGTGAAATTTACAATCAAAAGTGGTAATGTCGTTATTGGTGGGACACGTGCAATTCAGTCATAGAAATCAGTTGCATACACTGTGAATGAGAGCTGTAAGATTTCTCCTTTGAACTGCCAGACTCACAAAAGATATATTTCATGTTGGGCATCTTTATCCAAAACAAGGTAGCGTATTAGGGAAACTTGTGAAGTGTGCAAACAAAATTTGTTATTTGGTTATTGGTGGGATAAGTAAAATTCAGTCATAGAAATCACTTTCACACACTGTGAATGAGTGCGGTAAGATTTCGCCTTGAACTACAAGACTCATAAAGACATATTTCATGTTGGGGATCTTTAAACCAAAACAAATGAAATTGTTCTTTTCATTTATTCAAATCCCCGGGTTTGATTACATTGCTTTTTATTTTAAACTAACGTGTGTATTCCGTTGATCTATGCAGGTTTGCTTGACATTCCAATCTGTTCCGTCCACGACGAAGGCTTCGTCGCCAACCCCCGTCTCCAAGTCCGAAGGCCCGCCACCGGCACGCTAGACCAGACCCGCATGTCCCTCCCCGCTCGACTGCCGGTCCAGGCCATAAACTACCACCCCAACCACATCAACCCCCCTTTGCAATCCCACCGGATCAATCATATCGATGCCCAAAAGCAGTACCGCCGTTTCCCGCTCTCCATGCGGGAGCGGGCCGACCCTAAATTTGGCATGAGTAAGTTAACTGCACGAGGCTCTATTTTTGTATCGCTATAGCTATCGTTGTACTGCATAACCCTCTACTAATTCTTTGTATTGCATGGTAGTGTAATAGTTTCACTAACTGTACATGCAACTAATTCATCTGGATATGGAGATATACTAACACACTACATTTTTTTTACGCTTAAAATGATCCCAACAACAAAAGCTACAATACCATATGTTTATTTCTCCTAAAAGAAGCTCTATGATATTCAAATCTGCAGCAATTCATTCCTGTCAGTAGAATCATAATCTTGTGCCATCCATGCAATACAAAGTAATGCTTCTTTAATATTTTTTTGGCCCAGTTCTGCTATTGATAGGAATAAGGTTACAATACCACTTTAGAGAACTCCACTGTTGTATCACCTGTTCTCAACATCTCTAATACAAAGCTTAAAATCATACCCACCTTCCCCTAAAATCATGAATCTCTTATAAACACAGCCCTCCTTGATTTCAACCCCCTTCCCTTTGCAACCTCCTCAAACTACTGACATCTTAGAGGGCCTGTATGGTGTCACACAAGACTACTTATTTCATAGACCTAATGCCAAACAAGCATGGATGACTTTCATCTTAGTGATGAGGCATTACTTCTTTCTTGCATCCGCTGATAACTCATCAACTATCGGAGAATCAGTCCACAAGATGGTTCTTCAACTGACTCTCATCTCTCAAGCATGTCTTTCGTCAACTCTTGTATATACTCACGGCCGTGTACTGTACTCAACCTTCGACTCGAGTCATCGAGTACTCTTAACTCATCAACTACTCATGCCTGGCAAGTAGATTTACTCAACTGCGAGTCTGGTCTTCAGAGAGTGTGCGGGCCTTCTCCGATCAAAAGATGAGGGTTGCTGCGACGAAGCTTTCGATTGGACGGTCGATGAGGAATCCACCATGTGCACTCGGCAGCACTCCCTCAGTGAGCGTTTTTATCAAATCTCAGGGCTGAACGATATCCCCATCTGTGCCGTCCATGACGGGCCGGCCCTGATCAGCAAGCAGAGCCGTGACCTTCTCCGGCGCCCCTCCACGGGAGAAGACCGCCGGATGTACGCCTACCGCATCCCGGACGTCAACCCCCACAAGTACAGAATCCACAACCAAAACCCCACCCTCAACTCTCACCGCTACCCTATCAACACCCTGACGGGACTCAGCACGTACCCGCTGGGCTTCAAGGAAAAAGCCGATCCAAAGATGGGGCTCAGTGAGTGGTTTTTGGTCTGTTTGTTTTCCCCTGTGTGCATTTGGTCAACGGTGTGCCGATTTGCTGTGGTTGTGATTTTACAACAGGAATTGTGTAGCGGAAATAGAGCATTTCACAGTCCAATTTAGTTCCATTTTTTGATGCGGAGTGACCATCATTTCAGCTACAAATACATGTGTTTCATTCATTCAACCAGGTTCATTCTAATACCATTGTTTCAACATCACCCGAGGTGTAAATTCCAAAAAAAATCATTTCAAGCTCTGATCGTTCGCACTGAAAAGTTAACAACTCATCTTGCTGTGTTTTTCTAGTATTTACATGACCTGTATTTAAGCCCATAAACGACTATTTTAAACTTCTTCAGTGATGTTTTCCATCTTTTATTTTCTGTTTGAAAAAGCTGCTGCCATCATTCTTTCACAATTTTCAAAGCTGAAATGAAAATTCAATCATGCTCTTTACATTAAACATTAAAATTAACATTTCTCATGTTTCATAAGCTGTACGGGAAGGAAACCACAATATATCTGACTGGATTTGTTTATTAGATAGTAACTCTAAACCTTGTCCGGTTTTGCACAAAACATTGGAAAATCATGGAGACTGCAATCCCTAAATCAAGCTCAGGATTGCAAGTTAATTCAAAATCAATTCTAAAAAGAAGAATTCTGAAACAAAAGTTTCCAAAATATTAAAGGTTTTTAAAGAAGTTTCTGGTTTTGGCATGGGCTGAACATGTATGTTTTCTAAACTGCAATAGTTATCTCCCCCCCCCCCCCCCCACAGTCCCCCTCACGGACCTGTGGCGCGAGGAGCTTCGTCAGCTAACAGACAAAGCAGGCCTGGGTCTACCCAAGGAGATCAAGGAGCAACAGGAAGCCCAACCCAAGAGGACCAGCGTCTACTCGGCCGACACAGGCCGTCTCATTCCGCCGCCGTCCAGGGCCATGTCCAGGGGGTTCTCCCGTCAGAAGCAACGGCCCAGGGACCTGTTCCATCACATCGCCCCGGAGGTTGACCAGGAAGCACTGGTAGGCACATTGGGCATTCATTTCTGTCTTAGGAATACTCATAGACCCTTGACAATAATGAGCAAAGATGATCATGCATTATGATTTACCGTAGAATTCTGATTGAATGTACCCTAGTGTTAGTCAACAATGGTTGCACTCTAATGGACTTTTCGGAACCAGTCTAATGAGGCTGGCCCAATCATTGATTACCAATAGCCACACACATTGTAATGCACAGCGGAGGACCAAGGAAATTCTTGATATCGTTTCAACAGCTACAAACATTTGAACTTTAATAAAATTGTCATATGCAACATGTGTCAAATTTCAACAATGGCCACTGTGAAAACTATTTATCATGAAGTGATTTTTCCACTCAAATATCTTTGCTTGTTTGTTTCCCAGGTGATGGAGATGCTGTGTCAGATCCTACAGACAGATTCCATCAATGCTGTACAAGCTTGGCTCTGCTCAGCTGGACAGAGAGGTAAATAGGCATTAAGAATTCTTTGGGGAACGAAAATCAGTTCATCTGCTGTTCTGATACCTTTGTTTTGCCATCAGCGCACAGCAGATACAGTGATCAATGTATACAAAGATCACACAAAAAATAGGCAACTATGACTAGGCAGACTTTGAATTATGCTGCCAGGCCATGTAAATTCAATTCTTTACGAGGTATTTTGATAACTATACATCTTTTGCATCACCGCATTCCCCTTTATATATATTTGTATGTGGAATACATGTTGAAAGCATTTACTGGGAAAAAATTTGATTTAGTAACATCACCTCCAATCATCTACCTTCTCATTGTGCCATTAAGAAGCTGCTGCAAAAACCTCCGAATCGATGTAGGCGCTGATTAATGTTATATACAATCCTTACAAACCATGAAGTGCTGGGGAAGGGTTTTGGGCAGTACCAGTATACTATACGGAATAACAGGTGCAGGTAGGGTGCTCTGGGGTTGGCACAGCTTCTGTTAAAATCGACATTTCTTTTACAATACAGAAAAAGATCTGGTGCTGGACATGATCCGCGGCGCCATCAGCAACGAAGAGGACTACTGGAAGCGGCACCAGAACCCCGAGTTCTACGACATGGCGGCTGTAGAGCGCCCTCGCAGCCAGCCGCCGCCCATGATGAACCTCCAGAACGGCTACGGGGAGCTGGACAGGCCCGACCCGACACTGCATGAGGATAGCCAGAAGAGGAACGGTACACCCAACGGGTACTCGCGCTACTCCTATGAGCAGGAGGCGGACAGGAGAAAGATTGCCACTGCCGAGAAGAAAGGAGAGACACTGTTCGGAGGAGAAGGTAGGTTACTGATTTGGTTGGAGGGATCCTTTAACATAGTTTAGCATTTTCCTATTTTGAAAACCATGGAGCAAGTTTGATAAAGACCTGTGGTGGACGAGACCTGTAGAAGAGTTTTTTCCCAAGTTCCCCAACGTACTGAAATATAAGGTTGTACAACAGGAATCTAGCCAAAGCACAAAAGATGTGCTAACTGCTTACTTTGAATAAGTACTGTTGAGAAATAACAATTTCTTTCTTCAAACAGACCACCCAGCTTTAAGACAGAAGAGCGGCAAACCCGACATCTTCAAGATTGAGCACGATCAGCGGCCAGCGACTCGCTCCAAGTCCCGGGCAGCAGCAGCAGCAGCAGCTGAACAACCACCCCCAGTCCAAGCTCCAAAGACTCCAACACTTCGCTACATCTCAACACCAAAAGACGGAGGACGGCCCTGGAACCCTGAACAGGCTACCGTAGTTAACTGAGGTTTGCAAACAAACACATGTATTTATTCCCTTCATTAGACTCTGCGCACTGCGTACCGATTTCTTGGTTTAATATATCAGCCACGACAGACAAGCTGAAACAGCTTGATGCTAATTGCGCATTGTTTTAATTCTGCTCAATGAAGGCAATTCATTTTGTACTCGGCAGAGTTTCTGCCTTCCATAAGCACATTCACTTACTTCTGAACTTCAGGGTGACTTTGCGGGGAATACCATTTCGGACATTAGATCTAACCTGTATTTTATCAAAACTTCTACACCTTGCAAACTTTGTGCGTCATCAGTTTAACCCTAACTCCCTACTTAGTTTTACGAAGTACAAGACCGTGTCTGTCAAAATCCATCACTCACTCTGCATCACATAATGCTTCAGGACCAAATCCGTTGAAATTCACCACTGGTGCTGGTGGATTTTGATGGACTTGGTACACATGGCTTATCTGCCAAAATCCCCCAAAATGGGGGAGGGGGATGGATTTTGATAGAGTTGGTATTAGGCCAAAAAAAAAATAGTCGGTCTCTGGTAAGACCGAAGTTCCGGAATTGATGCGGCGACGCGGGTTTTTTTTTTTTTGGTGGCTTTTTTTTTTTCAAGCTTGTATTGTACAGACAAGGTGGGTACTATTTTGCTTTTTCGTGTCATTATACATTGGTGTCCTCAATAATTTGCCTTGGTGCCCTTTATCATTTGCCTTGGTGCAATTTCCCCATTCCTTGGTGCTCCTTGGTACAAAAATTTGAGGAGGCGCGGCAATAGAGGGCGTTGTTGTAGCTTCCGTGTTAATTAAAAAAAAAGAAAAAAGGTTGACGCGCATGATTAAAATCGACGCGTGCGCTGACCAGAGACCGAGTATTTTTTTTGGGGGGGGGGCCTTAAGTTAGGGTTATTTTAAGAAAGTTAAACAACACCTTGTTCTTGTAAAAGTAGAAGAAACACTATGAATTTGAGTCAAACTCGGTACAAGCAATGTACATATTAACAGTCCACATTCAGAAACACTGAAATGTTTTATTTCCAACTTGGTGTTGGCTTTGTGTTTTTAAGAATATTTGCATGCGTGTGGCACAAGAAACTACTTTCTAGCATTTTAAAGGGAAATTTAATAATGGTGGTTATTGCATGTATGGAGTGTTGCCTTTGAAGTTTTAAAATATAAATGCTACCCTATATGTTACAATTCCGCAGGTATTAAAGGCCAGTTTGTGGTTATTTTTGAAGTTCCGAGTTTGTTTTTTTAAATGCACTTGAATTTGATACAACGTTGATAATGGTTTATCTAGTCTTACAGATCTTGTACTCTAGTAATTTTCAGTTCACTATCAATGTGATTACGTAAGATCACCCAAGGCAGCTGATGCGAACATGGCCACTACTCATTATGGACTTGTGTATATTCTGAGCATTTTTGTGTTGTTTAATTAGAAATTCAGACAAAAATCTACAGGTTTGACTTTTATTTGTATTATTACAGTCCACAGCGAAACAGTTGCCCATCGAAAGGTAGCATTTACTGACCAATTTTTCAAACGATTTACTTCGCTTCGAATGCACATGCAGTACCAATGGCTGGATCGGTTGCCAAGTGTGTGGCATGATCCATCACTAGGTTAAATCCAGTGACCTCACTCGCTATTACATAACACTTTGATAGTGAATAGTAACTGTCTTATTAACTCGTCTAGTATGAAGAACTTGATGAAGACGTCATACTTGTCAATTTTTCTGTACTTGTTGTAGTGGCTTTCTCTTGTTGGTTCCTGCTTGATGCAGAACACAAACTGTGCTCCAACGTGCCTTTGTAATGTAATAATGACTAATCCTATGTACATTCATACACTGTATGGCCCTTTTCACACTAGAGCCTTTCAACCCGGGTTGAACTCAACCCCGGGCCACCCCAGGTTGAGTTTTTGATTTTTCAACCCCGCATTCAATCCAGCATCGTTTCACACTTGTTTCATGCAAATCAAGCTTTAGATGCTCAGTTACTACTGTTTTGAACCCTGGCAAGAATTTCAACCCGGGTTGAAAATCTCAACCCTGGTCTGGGGCAGGGTTGAGTTCAACCCGGGATAAAATCAATCTCGGGGTTGACGCAGGGTTGAAATTCTTCAAGTGTGAAACGATGCATGTTTTCAACCTTGCATCAACCCTGCGTCAACCCCGAGATTTGTCTAGTGTGAAAAGGGCTGATGTCTACAGTCACAAGTAGTAGAAACATGGTTGGAACCAGGGTAATCAGCACGAGTGTTTAGGGTCAGCGGTAAAAGGCTAAAAAATAATGGGCAATGACCAAAGTTGTTCACGGTGTTTGTGTCGATTTTAACAAGTAAATACACTGTTCTTTTTACACTGTACATAATGTATCTATAGAGCTTCTCAAAAATACACTTCTATGTTTTTGTAAAGAAACATGCGTTTGCGCAATATTTTTTTTCTGTTGAGGTTTAAGAAAAGAAGGTTTTGTAGCGATATGAGTGGAATTATTCATATATTGTGTGTCACTGCATGCGTCTTGTAATCTTAATATTCTGTGCTTACAGGGTTTTACAGGTTTTCATTACTAACTTGGTGAGCACAGATTTGTGATCATAAATGCAGAATTCTATAAATAACAGCGCCAAATATGTCCATCAATGGACATGGCATTATCGCAATACCTCATACATATTCATAACTTTGAATTTTCAATTTGTCATCATGTCATGCCAGCACTTACAGTATGCAAATTTGCAATGGGTGGAATGTATCGCAAGCTTAAATCATGAATATGCATTAGGTACATTTACAATGAATCAAATATACATTGGAATGCAAATAGCCTATTTGGGATAGGATGGACACAATACGAGGGCACTCTTTGCTTCAGGTAAACTCTTTGTATTTACCCGCATTTACCCAAATTTACCCAACCAAAAGTGCGACCCTCATATTGATTGTGTCCACCATTTCTCAAATAGGCCTATTTAAGGGTAAGTTCGTCTTGATATAAGAATCTGATCAACAATAACTCCAACCTCAACCGCGATGGTTCTTTGACAATTTCTTGCATCTGGCGGCACTTTATATCATGGAATATTCCATTTATTCTCCGTCCAAATTAGATTTGTATCAAATGTTTATAATTACACATTTTTATGTGCCTGCTGGAATTATGTTTACTTTAAGAATGGAATTAAATTTTGAATGTTGACCCCACCGTTGTTCTCTGTAAATAACACTACATGTATTCAAATCACCTTTTTACAGTACAATTTTGACTTCTTGATTGTAAAATGCAAATTTTTGTCACTTCTGAATAAATAAAACAAAAATAACTGTGACCCCTGAGTGGAACTATATTCAACTCTGTATTTTTGCAAGGATGTAACCTCAATCCTGCAAACTGCTTCCATGTAAAAAAAAAAAAAAAGCATACAGCCTCAATCCTGCAAAATCCTCCATTATTTCTTGAATGTGGTCCTTGGAGGGGTGGCTCAAGGCACAAATTCATGGTGCTGCTTAATTAACAGTAAGCAGAAAAGTTGTGCTAACTTAAGCAGGAAAAAATCTGCTAACCTCAAGCACTATTTCACAGCGTGGATGTGCTAACGGTTGAGCGACCATGGAGATTTCTACTATTAAGTCATTGCTTTTAGCAACTTTTTCCTACGAGGTAAGCATGCCTTTTGTGTGCTAACTGCTCATGGTCTCCATGAAATAGACAGAGGTTCTGTTAGCAGAAAACCGTGCGCTTAGCAGCGTCGTGAAATTGGGCCCGGTTCTTTCCGAGAGCTGAACATGGAGCAAGATTGAGCTAGCTGAAGTCCAGTATGGCACTCCTGAGACTACAGGTTCCAATGTGGCTCCCGTCATTTTCTCTGATTAATACTGATAAACGTTTTTGCAAAAACAAAACAGACCCAAATGCAAGTCCCCCATGAAACTTAATTTATTGACCACCCTGTACAGTGCACACCACAGAGAAAAGTGTACACGTCAGAGAAAAGCGTACTCTAAAACTTAGCCTGTACCTGTGCTAGCTTGTACTGCCCTCCTCTGTCGCCTCTCCTGACACCAAATCAACCTTGTCAGAGGTCACGGCATCTGAACTTTCACCTTTGGCCTCTGAGGGATCCTTGACAGTTGCAAGCTTCCGCTGGGGTAGGACCCTCAGGAATGCTTCCTTCCAGTCTTTTGTTTTGATGAAAGCCAGGAGTATCTCGTAAACTGTTGACGACAAGAAAATTGTACCAAATTCAATCAAAAAAAGGAGTTTGTAATTTGGCACAAATTGAAAATTGAACACATTTACACCCTCTCTTGGCAAAAATGTGTCAGTGACTGTAATGCAGGGGCACTGTATTGCTCAGTTTTGAAATGTTAGCTTGCAATTGGAAACGATCCTATTTTGGGTTCACTCAACCATAAAACATTAAAACGGAACATTCTAAGTATTAGGAATTTTGAAATTCTCTCATCAGGGCATCTTAGTCCTGACTGGGACTTGTAATTACCTAGGAAATTTTGCCGGAAAAAATTGTAACTCAAAGTCCCAAAAAGGTATCTTTTATTTACTTAATATAATAATGGGATTGGAAACGAACTTTCATGCTCAATAATTTTGTCAGGTACCCATTTTGAATGAGCTTACCATGATTAATCGTCAGGACTTTTCTGTCTCTGAGCATGACGTAGTCACTGATGGGCAGTTGGGCATGCGACCAGCCGTGTTTCTCAGCGAGTGCAAAACAATGACCCTGAAAACGGAAATATAAAAAATGTGGTTAATCAAAACTGAGAGTTAATGTTTGTGATAAATACGATGGAAATGCCTAGTACAATGGAGGTCGCAAACCTGTTTAACCCTAACTCCCTAGGCATTTTTTCTAGTATGTAACCTTAATCCTGCAAAATCCTCCAACCGCCTCCATGTAAAAAATTGCATACAGCCTCAATCCTCCAAAATCCTCCAGCAGTCACTGTCAATATGTTGAGGCAGAGCCAGTGACATCCTGGAGCAGTGCAGAGGATTTCAAGTATAATCTAGGTCTCAATCTATGCACGGCTGAGCATAAACAACACAAGGTCCGGCCAAGACCTTGACACAGTGCATCCTCCAAAATTAGCCACACGTTTTTGCCATGTAGTCTCAATCCTGCAAAATCCTCCATTTTGCAAAGAGGATTTTGCAGGATTTGGGAAGGTTAGGGTTAATGCCAAGCAAATAATTGTATGCATAGTGTAAAAGCATGCCTGGTGCATCAGTAGATCAAGAAAGCTCATACTATTAATACAGGTACCTTATGACATCACATGAAATTATGGTTTCAAAAATGTTTCTGCCAAGCGTGTATTGCAAACCTAATGGCTACAAACCTTAGCAAACATTATGAGCACAAACCTTGTTGATGCAAAATTGTTTCTGCTGAGCAAATATCTTTGTGCTTAGTGTAAAACTACCTTCAGTGCATCATTAGGTGATAAATCCTCTTGATGATAATATTAATACCTTGTGATGATTGTGATCAACTAGACCTCCAATGATGTACACCTTGTCTGACTGCAGTTCTGTCAGTAAGTTGGGTGATTCTGACGACAGATACACAATGTTGTCCCGGCCAAACGTCGCCTCGGGTCCATCCGTCTTCCAGTGAACCTGCGTATTCAAAGGGGTGAGAGTGGCCTAGTGGTTAGGGTGAGTGACTCATGATCAGAGGGTCAGGGGTTTGAATCCAGTTGCTGGCCATGTGTTGTGTCCTTAGGCAAGCCACTTCACCTCCACTTGCCTCTCTCCACACAGGAGCATAAATGGGTACCGGCATTAGCTGGGGAGTAACCTGCGATGGACTGGCATCCCATCCAGGGGGGATAGAAATATTCTCAGTTGTTTCATGCTACTGAAACCGGAGATAAACTCCGGCCTGATGGGCCACATTGGCTTGTGACAGACTTTACTACTACTTTACTACATATTCAAAGAACAGGTCAATCGCTTGTAATTCAGTCTCAAGTGAAAGTCAAGTCACAAGCTATTTGTATGAAGTCAGAGGGAACCTCAGTTTGGCGCAGTGGTGGTTGCTTTCCTCGCCTTCCACCTCTATCGCCCAGGTTCGATTCCTGCCCTAGTCCACATGTAGATTGAGTTTCAGTCCATAACTCATGTCCATAACTTTTAGCCTTACTTGTGACCACACCCCCGAATTGTGATTTGACGCGAGATTGATTTGTGATGGACTTGACCTAGACTCTGCTACTTACATCCCAGCTCTTGTAGCCAGTGATGACCTGTTCGCTGATCTCTTGGAATCTCCCCACCAAGCCGCAGATGTAGAGCTGCAGCGGCTTGTTGGTCAGGCTGCGGTTCTCAGCGTAGCACCGCTGGACCTGCTTGCAGAGCTTCTTGATTTCCTGCCAAAGGGGACAGAATCACAAGACAGATAACACAGTAGCACAGTGATACCGCGATTGCTATAACAGATTTGAAACGGTCAGCCAGTCTTAGCGAGCTTGGTGGTCAAGTGGTTAAGACATGAACAAGCAGAAGGTAGTGGATTTGGATCAGTATTGTAGCTGAACCATCACAGGTTAGGGAGTCAGGTTGGCGTAGCGGTACTTTCCTCGCCTTCCACCGTTGTGACCCGGGTTCGAATCCCGCCTGGGCCAACATGTGGATTGGGTTTTCAGTCCCTCCAGCAATCACTGTCTTTATGTTGAGGCAGAGCCAGTGACATCCTGGAGCAGTGCGGAGGATTTCAAGTATAATATAGGCCTAAATTTATGCACGGCTGAGCATAAACAACACAAGGTTTGGCCCAAGACCTTGATACAGTGCATCCTCCAAAGTCAGCCATCACTTTTTGCCATATAGCCTCAATCCTGCAAATTACTCTATTTTGCAAAAAGGATTTTGGGCGACTTGGTAAGGGTTAGGGTTAAACAAGCAGTACTGAGCACACATAAAGTAACATTGACTTTGGAAATACCAATCCTTTTTTGGTGTAGCACACTAAATTCCATAAAAGGTTTAGCTTGCATTACTAATTTTCTTGCACTACCCAAATTAAGTGTTCCAATGAGACACTATTATTAACAAAAAAGAAAATCGGCCAAAGTTAAGTAAAAATTAAAGAATCAATTTCCTGCTTTAAATTTTAAAAAGCAGCATTTTAGCCGATTTTTTCCAGTAATTTCGTGCCACAATTTCGTGCAGACTGCTGACCACATCATCTCTGAGTGCTCCCTCTATCGCCCACCAAACAAGTACCATGGTCTGATTGATGTTGATGCAGATGCAGCAACTCGTGAAGTGGCTTCTCAGCAAGCATCCAGAGATCTAACAACTCTCTTGGTTTTTTTGGTTTCACATGCAAGAAGAAGTGCCACATTCATGTATTACCCCTCAAACCATGTGATGTAATGTGCACAAAACCTACCAGGTCATTCATGAGATGGTCGTAGGTGCAGTCGATGGCCACCCTGACATCACTAGCCTCAGGGTCGTTCATCCGTCGTTTCTTGATGCGGACTTGGCCGTCGTCGACAACCTCCGGCATTCCTTCTCTCTCCTGAATCTTCTTCAACTTTCTCTTCTCCCTTTCCTTCAGCCTGTAAAGGTTTAAAGAGGGGCGATGGTGCTCTCGTATTAGTTAAATTAATCATTAGCGACCATCAGAGTGCTTCAAATGAAATGTATGCACCAATGACAAGTGGTCTGCTGTACCTTTAAGATTGGTTCCGAGCTGTTTTTCCCTATGCACATAAAATTGCTGGGCTATAGTGAAGCAACAATTCCCATCTACAGGGGGGTCCCAAAAAAGGTTTATACACTTTTTAAGAGGCAGATTTCTCAAAATTGAAGAGACATGTTGAAATTGTTCAAAGATATTCCTTAACTACAAGATCTGGGTCGTATATGGTGAAAACAGCATTGAAAATAAAGCTCAAGTTAAGAAATAGCGGCCTTTTACAGAAGAATTGTCCAAACTAGTTTGTTCATGTCTGTGGCAGTCATAATGTAGACCTAATTACAATTATTGCAGTTCTTTGTGCGGGCGGTGCTATATTGTGTTGACCATATCTCACAGACTTGCAAGTGGACATACTGGTTTATGACCATCTTTCTTTAAAGTATCGTCATTTCTTAATTTAGGCTTTATTTTCAGGGCATCGCAAGTTAAATTTGAACGTATTTGCACCGACGACGCCTGACGCTCACCTGAAGACACGGTGGCTATAGCTTTTGCACATTCAGAAAGTCCTGTGTATTTTGCGCCGAACCAGTACAGTACAGAATGCGCACGCTGTGTGTCCTGTCCACGAAGCTTTCAAAAGAGGTGAAAAGGCGCCCTCTTTTGTTGGCGCACAGAGCCCATAGTACCTTTTGGCCATTCTTCTTTCCTTCCAGTCTTCCATTTTCATCATTTTCTTCATCTGGTTCTTGGAGACAGGCAACCCTGTACTGGTTGGAACCTCTTGCTGCGCAGCATCCTTCCCATCCTGATTGCCTGACAGTGCAGCATCACCATCGTCTGCCTCGGGTTTTCCCTCTCTGGTATCTTCCATGAGGTTCTGTCCTGATACAAAAAAAAAATGAGAAAATCCACTAGCACACAGAGAAAGAGAGACAAAGAGAATGAGGGTGTTGCAGAGTGGGACTTTGACAGGATCTCGAGTGCTTTGAAATGTGCAAAACTATAATCAGGCCAACTTTGCTCACTCTTCATGCTTTTTAGCCAGCAAATTTCTCCAAAATTGATCATCTGATCATCAATTTTCTGTGCAGCTTACATGCATGTGAGAGTTCTAAGTATTTTCAAAAGAATTTTGAAGCATGGGCATTTAGCACCGGGGCATCCAGCTAGCTATGGAGGTGAGCTATGCTAGCCTGGCTGCGAATTAAATTTGCAATCGCAGCCTGGCTATGTCCGGAATCTAGACCAACAAAAGTTACCGATTATGGCCCTACCTACGCACCTAGTAAAATCACACAACTTACATTCACAACACCAGCTTCGAAACAGGGTTTTCAGCAATTTTAGCAAATTAATTATACCCCAGGCTTTTATTAACAGTAAATGATTTCAGCTCATCTATCTCTGTCTTGCAATCCACACCAACCTAAAACCTCATGTACCACTACTACTTGTGTACTTTTTGGCCATTTGCATGGCGCCCTCTGTTGGTGACACATCTGCCGTTTGCTTTCAATCAAAGGAGTTTTGTTTCTCTTTTTGCTTTTTTGCTATCGAAAAAGAAAAATAAGTTTGAGTTCTCTCTTTGCTTTATGCAATCGAAAAAGGAAAATGAGTTAATATTTTTTTCTATTTTAGTGAAGTAAGCTAGGGTTTCTGAATCATTTACTCTTCATTTAAACATAAAAAGTTGCCTACATCGTTATTACATCAAAGCAAGGAACAGACGATGCATTTCTGTATTGTTCATGTTTTCTGTAAATTTAAACAGAAAAAACGTGCATAAATTAATTGTAAAGGGCGCCCACGCGCGCGCTTTGGTTAAACACCGCACAGTTCACTAAGGCCTAGGGAGGGGGCGCTAACCCCACTGCCAAAGACGTCTTGGGTCTTCAGATACTTATCCCTTCCCAACCTCGACCAATTCACTGAGGTAAACAAAATCAGCTTGTGGGGAAGATTTGCAAGAAAGAAATTTGGAACATTTCTACTGCCCTCCGGCCTTGCTTCAAACATCTGGACATCTCACTGGATTTACCAACAGTCTGTCCTTAGATAGCGCCAAAGTTCGATTATACTGAAAGAAACCGAATTTTTCCTGTCCCAAAAAGATTCACAAAAAGCCTCAAATATCATTCAATCCTGCATATCAAGCTTTATTACTCTTCGAGATTTATGTTACATACTTAATTTCAATCTGAAACTTAAGAATTTCACTAATTTATTAAAGGAAACACACAATTTAAGTAAACACAATTTCAACAAAAATAACAATTACATAGGCCTACGTGTTCCCACGGTCTCAATGCACAGTTGTGTGAAGTGATTGTGACATCACCTACACACAGTAAGGACGCGTTTTGCATGTTTTAAACAAAATGATTTAAGCTTCCTTTTTGTTTCAAAAGGCCAATTCTGCATTAATTGATTTCCTATACGTACGTTCAACATTTAAAAACCATTTAAACTTTAAAAATTGCATTGACGGATAGTTTTTATATCATAATTTACTATAAAATAGATCTGTAGATGCATGTACACTAGAAGCTATATAAGCCTTTGAATGTCAAAGGCAGTAGTTTTTTTAATCATTTTATTGACAGTCTATGAGCACATTTCTTCCACGCTGCAACATTTTCAACATCAAAAGCCGCCCTTTCGAAAACCCAAAACGACTTCTTTAGTATCTCACCATTCTTTCAATTATTCACTATTTAAAGATTTCCTTTAATGAGCACACATCAAATATTCAATGCAATCCTTCCACATTCATCGACTGTTACAAACAGACAGTCACGGAAAAGTAAACCAAACAATATCCACCATTGGCCACCATTCGCTTCACTTCACGACTGTTAAAAAACAGCAGAATTCTTCACCGACTACCATTCTCCACATTATACCACTATTAAACAAAACAATTTCTTCAACCATGCTAACCTCAGATATGGAATATACACATGCTTTTAGCAAAAACCCAAATTCGTGGCTAACCCATAAAACGGGTAAGCATAATAGTTACTGAAATTCCGTGCTTAGTAATCTGAAGACTAATCAGCTAATCTGAAGACCAACCAAACTTTATCACAAAAATATTACTCTGTCTTATATTAATAAAGGGCACTAATTGCACCACTGAAACATTACCCGAAAGTCAGTCTATCTGGTATGCTTCAATTTAGAAAAAAAGTCCATTTTCATATTTTTTTCCCCCCATATATTAACCCATTAAACAGAAACCCTACAAAAAATTGATCAATGGATTTTAACAGCCAGTTGATATTCCCATTCTCAAAACAAAAAAAATATTAATTTTTTACAATGCTGCAGATTTTGTGTTTCAATTTTCTCGGCAAGCTCAGCACCTTTTCAAACACAAATTTTCAAAGTCAATATTTTTCCCACGATCTTTGACTGCACGCATTGATATTCCTACCTTACTGGAATTTGTGTCCTTGTGGAGAAATTTCTTTGTTCTCGTGTAGTAAAGTTTTCGAGTTTGAAAGTGTAGTTTCAAAATGCTCTTATTTTAACCGGCATTAATTTCCTTGGCTGAAATTCAGAATTAATATCCCTTTTCTAAAACTCTTCCATTTGCGACAGATCAACATACCATGGAAATTCCTAATTTTTGAGTAAAGTCCATATATCTATTTCGTTATAACCTCGTGGAGACATATTCATCGATTGAAATTGCCCCGTGAAGACGTATACAATCTTTTGTTCCCTATTGTGTGCATGTCTCTAGAGGGCACGGTGTATCAGATCTTCCAAACACAATCACGAACATACCTGAGGACACATACAATCTGGGTAATAATGAATATTAAGTTACAACACAAACACGTCAATCTATCATTAACATAAGTTAAGAGTCTCAGTACCAGCCTCTAATACTTGTGAAAATGCAATCTTAAACTATCATAAATTCTATAAATATAGGAAACTTGGGAAAAAAGCATTTAAAAGCTGAGAATAGATGCCTGCGTCTGATACAAAGCAAGGAAAAGCAAGAAAACTTAGTATTTTTTTGGACTACAATGCTTTGGTTGGTAATGGCCAACGTCTGGGTACCTGATTTCTATCCTTTGGTAAAAGCTGCTAGCCATGGTAGAGATCCTTTATATTAATCCAATGTGGATCAGGTGAGATCTCGCGAGTATTTACAACTTTATATCTCCATTGAGATATATATATATATATATCATGTGACCAGCTCCACAAAAAAGGGTATTAAGGCCAAAAAAAAAAGTCTCCGGTTTCTGGTATGCACGCGCCTCGCTGTAGCCATGCGCGTTGGCAAAATGAAAACGTTTTTTTTTCAATAAAAGATGATGTCTCAAAACCGCCAAACTCACTGGTTTGACTGGAATCCTGCTACTGCACAATTTTAACGTGTTTTTATATGGAGTTATGATCAACAATAAGCTTTATGTGGCCTCTCTGGACTACCATATATTTGCACTAAGTTTAGTCGGGCACCATTTGCAGTCATGAGCCGACATTTAAAGCCAAAAAAAACAGGTAAAAAAAAAAAAAAAAGCCGCGTCACCGCACCACTTTTTGGGCAAGCTCCATACCAGAAACCGGAGACTTTTTTTTTTGGCCTAAGTCGCGCTGTGTATTATCGTGTAATGGTCCGCTCAATGTTGAGAGGGTGAACATTTTGTCGAAATGTGATTTTCATTTTTTGTCATAAACGACATCTTTATTACCTACAGTTTTATGTTTCATTCACAGAAATGTTGATTTTGATGAATAAAACGAAGAAAAAAAATGACTATTTTGTGTGCATCGTTCTGTTGTTCTACAACAGATTCAGCTATTTCAAAGCCTGCGTTCTCATTTGTGTAATTTGAACTTAAGGAAGTAATTAATATGTAAACACGTTATATCTCCAGCACGGGAGGGGCTATGGAGCTCTATTGTATACCAAATGAAAGCTTATGTTATGGGCTTTCCAACCATGTACATGTATATAACTAAATATCACTTTTTTTGTGACATAATACCCTTTGTTGCGGAGCCGGTCACATATGTAAACACAATATTAAAAAGTAGTTTATTTTACACTTGTTGACTGCTGAGATGGGGGATATGGGCGTCTAGTACCCAAGGAGAAGCCACGGGTCATAGATGCTACGCGAAGGGGATAAAAATGACATATCCAACATCACAGCAGTCCACAATTGTTTTGTTATATCGTGCCAATAAGTCAAAAGGATAAAGGCTTGCAAATTACTGTGCAAGACGTAAATCAAATCACTGCGGTGTGACCTTTTGTATTTAAACTGCAAGCTTTCCTGCCAGACATGAGACTGAGCGGTTGCAGTTCTCAGTCGCGTGCGCAGTGCATATGAGGTAAATTATATGCAAGCAGTGTATATGAGGTAAACGATTAGACCAATGAAATTACAGTATCTAAGACACCATGTAACTAGTATGTGTATGTATATCTTAAGAGGTACAAACATCAATATACCGTTTTTTTACTTTTGTTCAGAATTACTGCCTTAAGTGAGCTGCAATGATTTCTTGTGTCTCAATAACTTGTAAGTGAGTTCAAGAATTGATTGATTTCAATCAAAGTAAAAAAAAAAAAAACACAGCAAATTAAACAAAAACACAACATGACAACTTTGTAATTTTGTATCAAATTCGGAAGGTGCCGTCAGCACCACTGTATGCATATGAACCAAAAATGTGTAGAATTACTGAAACACAACAATCAACAAATAAAAGAGGGGGAAAATGATTAAATTAGAGATCAATCTTCTGCCTCTTCTTGGGCCTGCTGATATTGGCGTTCAGGTCATTCACGTCTTCGATCTCGCGGCTGGGGGAGAGGTCGAGACCCGAGTCTTCAGACAAGGTGGTGGGACTGTCGTTGCTCTTCGATGGGCCCGAGATCAAGTCATCCTCGTCTACATCTACAACGGGCAAAAGGAGGGGCTTGGCAGACTGACGGTGCACCGGAAGCTGCTTGGACTTGGCCACAGCTTCGAGCTCTTCGACCGAGAAGCTCTCGAGCTCTTGGAGAGCCTCGGAGAGCCGGGCCAAGAGGTTGCAGGCATCCTCCATAGAGAAGCACATGGGCGGCTTGAACTTGAGGACGTTACAGAAGGGTCCCTCCGTGCTGATTAAGATGAACTTTTCTCTCAGGCTGTGACAAGAAAAACACAAAACAAAAACAAGAGGTTGGGAAACATGAAAACAGTATTCAGCGAGGCTTAGAGAATCTCTACGCAGTCTCAAAAGCGATTGGACTAAAATGAAATACGATCATTTGAGCCTTAGTTGTAACCAAGACATCAGAAGTCAATCACTCGTCGCCCTCTCTCGAATCAAGTTAAAGGCTATTCAAATAAACCACTACAAAAGCATTTCTTTGTCATTGTTCATTCCATGGTTGTGACTGCCTTGATCACCACTCTGGTCCATGCAAAACTTTCTGTTGTTGCACTCTGACAAATCACTATGACAAATGTATTAAAAAAATCATCAACAATTCTGATGATGTTCCCATTAAAATGCTCTGCAAACAGACAACGAAAAATGAGGTACAGGTTCACATTCCTATTTTGTACAATGCGTCTGGAGGACGTTCTCGCGTTCCGGCAAAATCAGACAGAACTGGGCAGAGGTCGAAATGAGGGACTGTAGTCATTACGTGGGTTTTCAGTACCCGAGTGAGCTAATAATTTCTAAATCAGTTTCGGAACTTGGGCATGTGGCATCTAACTTACAATTCAACGATGTAAGTTGCCTCATTGGCAGCTGGCTCCTGGGTAGCTCTGTCTTGGACTAGCTCAATGCCAATGAACAAGCCCATCCCCCTGATGAGAAAACAAGAAACAAAGTTAATGATATAAGACAATGGTGTTGCTCGGATGCATCCCAGCTGAGTACAGGAAAATAACGGGTTTCAAGCCGAGTTGTTATCGAATCAGTTAGGGGCTCCGTGCACAAGTACCTCCTCAACGGTAAGAAAGGGAGAGTTGGGAGAGACAACTGGGAGTAACATAGACATTCTAACGTATTAACGAAGATGCCCGATGCCCGAGCAATGATACCTTGGGTTTGTGCACAAAATTAGTCATGCGTACTTTGAGCTATGGGCTCCGTGCACAAGTACCCCATCAACGGCCAGAAAAGGAGAGTTGGGGTGACCTAGACTGGTTCCTGATCCATCCACTGCGTATTTTGAATGTATCCAAAGTTATTGGAGGCGGGATTAGTCTCGGAGACCATCTCAAGTTGAATTTGAATGTATTCGCGCGCCAAAGATGCCTGACTCTCACGCGAAGACGCGGTGGCTATGACTTTTGCACATTCAGGAAGTCATGCGTCTTTGGCGCACGAACCAGTACAGTACAGTACGCGCACGCTGGGTGTCCCGTCCATGGAGCTCTCAAAAGAGGTAAAAATGCGCCCTCTTTTGTTGGCGCACGGAGCCCATACGCACATTAACCAGTGCGAGCACGCAATGTGTCCCGTCCAAGGGGCTCGCAAAAGTGCGCCCCCTCCTGCTCACGCATGGAGCCCGTTAGTCAATTCACAAGTCAATTGCAGCTTTGTCAGCGTTCACTTGCGACTTGTAAGCTTGTAAAGTAACTTGATACTGGATGACTTTTGATTGTCTTTTGTTGTATTGTGATGACTCGAAACTTTTGTTTCTATTTGCTAATTTTATTTTCATTTAATTCTTTCTTGTAATCAAACAAAGTGTTCCTTGAAATCGCCCGGCTTGGAAGCCAGATTCTCCCAGTGAGATGACGAAGAAATGTTTGGTTTTAGAAGTGGGAAAGGAAATACCAAGATTTGATCAACTTTTGCAAATCAACAGAGCAAAACATTACTGTGAAGTCACAAATTTTGCATTTGCGTTCATTTTTTAGCAGAGTTTGAACTGGCATATAAATTGAGGCCTAAAAGCCTTTCATTTTATTTTCCCCTGAATTTTCCTCCTGTTCTCATGGACTCTCACCTGACATCACCGATGATCTTGAAACGTTGCTTCAATTCGAGCAGTTCCTTCCTCAGAAAGTCCCCCACAAGGGTGGCATTTTCTCTCAGATGCTCGTCCTCGATGATGTCCATGACAGCCATGCCTACTGCACAGGACACGGGATTGCCTCCGTACTGCATAAACAGACACGTGAAATGGTCGAGTCAGCAGCGCAACGGCTAAACGGCAAACACCTGTTCCGACAGGTGTTCAAGGGTCGCGCTGGGAAAGAATTCCATATTGGGCCACCACTCAGACCTCCTACAATAAGTCCATGGGCCATGACAGAAAAAGCTAGTATTTTAAGAATTTTTGTACTCCTTAAATACTGTTTTTTCATCAGATTTACAACTTTTGGTACATTTCAGGTCATATTAGGGAATATGAGTGGTGGCCCAGTATGGAACTCTTTCTTACGCTGAACCAAATTATTCCGCAGATTTGTGTGAAGGTTCAACATATGAAAGCTAGGAGGGAGTACATTTAAAGACCAACTGCTGCAGTGGTTTGGAAAAGCTCCAGGGTCCAGTAAATGGAAGCTTGAGGCCAAATAAAAAAATAATCATGTTTGTCGTCCCCACATGCTTACTTTACCCGACCACCTCCTTTTTCTTTATCGTACATTTGAAATATAGTTTGTCTTTTCATCCAGCAAAATTGTAGATATGTATGTAAGATAGGGTGGTGGCTCTTTTGGACGCAAAGGTATTAGCAAAAGAGTCGAGAAAATGGACAAATCTATCTGCCATCTTGGAAAATCCGTGGGGGGGGGCTGCCTCCTTCTTTTCTCAAAAAGCCTGGATGAGATACCCTTTTTTGTTTTTTACTTGGCCTAATGCACAAAGTTTGCCTGTTCGAAATACAAAAAAACATGACATGGGGCTAAATTGATAGGCTGTAACGTTTCTAATCTTTTTTTGTCGAGTGGCCACTTACAGTGTTGAAATACTGGTATCCACCACGGCCCATGCTGGCTGCAATCTCTGGCGTGGTTACCACCGCAGCGATAGGGTGGCCGTTACCCATAGGCTTGCCCATAGTCACTATATCAGGAACAATGTCTATAGAAAAAAAAAGAAAACCTTCCAGATATACAGCTCCTGGGGGGGCATAAATAGAATTTATTACTATCCTTATAAACCTAGGGTCAATGCCGAGGAGCTGAGCACAAAAACTTTCTAAGCACAGAAATGTCCTGCTTAGCGAATGCAGGTTACCAGCTTAAATGCTATGTTATGTCTTTTGCTTGCGACCGGTTCTCCGCTAATATCTGCTTACCATGTTAAATAGTTGGAAAATGTTGTCTGCTAAGCAGCTGCATATAATGGTCCAAATGATCAAATTAAAAACTAGTTTAACTTAAAAAGACTGTAACTGGTGAAATATTTTCAGGATTTCAAGGGCACTATCCGCTCCGTTCACAAGTACCCCCTCACCGGCAAAAAGACTACAGTTGGGGGTGACCGAACGACGCCATCTTACCTGACTCCAATTTTGCCGCGACGCATGGCCGTACCACTGCGTGTACATAGTACAAATCCGCTGGTGTAGGCTACGTGCGTCACACACAAAGTACAAGGAACGGTGCGCGTCAACCAGCTGAATGTCCCACCCACGGGACGTCGTTGCCAGGTAAAAGGGCGCCCTCTTTCGTTGGCGCACGGAGCTCATGGGGGGGGGGGAATTACAATCATCTGAAACTTACCAGATCCTTGTGTCTGGAAACCCCACCAGTGCTTTCCGACCCGGCCGAAGCCAATTTGAACCTCATCGGCAACACACACACCACCAGCCTGATGAACATGCCTGACACGAACCAAAAAGAAATTTTAAAAATCTCAACTTAAAGGGTCCATCCATGAGATGAATATTTCTGAGGAACACATTTTGTGCAACTTTCTATTCCTTTTACGGATATGAAACTATTTGACATTCCTTTTTGGTTAATTTTATTGAAAAGTGCACTTCTTTAAACAACTGACACAACAAGGAATCAACTAAGTTAACAAAATTTAAAATATCAAAATACCCAAAATTCTGGCAACTCCTGATCCTGAAATAACTATAAAATTTAGGTTTCTGCCTGCAAAAGTGTGATGCAATTTCAGGCAGAAACCTCATTGTTTTGGATATTTTGCTGTTTTAAACTTACGCTTTAGCACAACCACCAAAAAGGCACCAAAATCCCATTGAAAATGGCATATCAAAAATTGAATTTTAGGTTAAATGGCAGCAAAGACCTGTGCATTTTCAAGAATTGCATTAATAAAATTACATTGCATGAACCCTTTAAGTCGGAAACAGAGGAATGGGTACATATATTAAAATGTGTTGCAGTCAAGAGTTGAAGTCAAGTGGTTCACGTCAGGTCAAATTAGAGGATCAACAATAACAAAGGAATGCCTTTGTCGCACTTAAATACTTGAATCGAGACTGAATGACAGGTGATTGACTTGTGATTGTTCTGCGTGGATATAACTACAACTCGCTGTTGTGAGAGCAATAAGCCAGTTCCGTATTAAGCTGGGCAGCCGCACAATGATATGGGTCATGGGTCATTCTGGATAATTCAACGCTCATCGAAGGCGCATATTGCGCAAGGAGATGGCGCACGACACTTGCACGTTAATTACGAGTAAAATGGGCGTCCGCGTAACATCGCATATCATCACGTCGGCAATTCTTTCCCGAATTACCTTTGACTTGGACTACTTCATCAAGATGCCAAACTGGCTTATTGAGGGGTGGGGGCGGGGCGACAGATTTAACAGCTTTGAGCAAGTTCAGTTGGGTGATTAGAGTCGACTAGACCACCATAGTCGATCTAGATGTCACTAGGACGCAGAGTGGTTTGACTAGCTAGTCCAACTGAATCAACCTAGCCAGGGAGCACTGTTTCTCCAGTCAATTTTGTGAGTTACATGTACGTCACTGTTTCAAGATGGAGGAAAGGTAAACTTTGGCAAGTAAAAAGAGGTCTTACCGAAAGACATTCCTGAAGTAACCGGGGGGATACACAAGTTGTCCACCACAACTCTGGAGAGATTCGGCAAAAAAGGCTGCAATCTGAGGTACAGAACAGAACAATACATACGCTCTATTCCCTGTTTCTCAAAAAAAATCACCTGTTTCCAAAGGAAACGAACACGTAGGTAAATGAACAATTCCAACAGTGTACTGTCCACTCAGAAACTGTAGCATTCCTGGGTGGTCCACAAATCCACTATTCATCCCGCCGAGTCCACTAAAATCCACTGATCTCTGTAAAGAGGGAGATATCTGTGGAAAATGGAAGGGGGTCTGCACGTCCGACGGCCAAAGACAGTCCTGGTCTTCCAGTTACTGATCTTGAGATCTTCAACTCTCTTTGGAAAGCCAGGGGGTCGTTTACTAACTCGACGGCAGCCTAAATCTTTGACAGTCTAACACGCGGTCCTTCTGTTTTTATTTATTTAAATTTTTTTTCCTGAAAAGGGAGGCATTCAGAATCTCACCGAAGCTTTTTGGGGAGCAAGATAAACACCACTGTAAACCTATGGATTCCGCGCTTTGAAGTACGCCCTCTGAAGTACGCCCTCAGCAGTAAAAATGCAAAGCGTAACTGAAGGGCACTTAAGTTAAAGAAGGACACGTGCCATTGCGGCTGTGCACCTACTCTCGGGTAAATTTCCCTCAAAACGCTCATTCGAGAATACGAAAGTTGTGTGAACACTGCATCGCATACGTGCGCACTGGTGTGTTTACGCTATGTGAACATCACTGGCACTCTTAACTAGGCTGTTGGGCGCCCTCTAAAGTTCCCGCACGGAGCACATAGGCACCCTGCCCATTCCTTAGGTAAGACTCTGGATGCCTCCCTTGAATGCTTCCGTCGGTATGTCTTTATTTCTTCCTGAAAACAATGACTCACCTAAATGTAGGCCCGCTATGACGGGGAACCTGCGATACAAACTCAAGAAGGAATACGGGATCGGCCAAAGCGCCCAAATCCGCAGCCGGAAGGACACAACCGAGATATATTAAGGCATGCGTTTCTAAAGAATCTTACAAAATGGTCCTACACTGTATGTACGAGACTGCCCCAACACAAACCAACACAGCAACTAGAGTATGTCTGAAAGGGCTTTATTATGACCAGAAATTTCAGATTGTGAAATAATGCCGAGGTTCAGTTAGCGAATTGAAGATGGTCATTTCTTTTGACAAGAGGTGGAGAAGTCGGCTTCTTTTATTTTTGAAGTCTTATGGGGAATTTGTGATGGGGCAAGTCCCTCTGAAAAGCAACAAAACCTGCCGTGGAGAAGTCTAGTACCTGGTGGCACATACACACTGAATACAATAACATGGAGAAGTGCCAAATGGTCGCCATTCTTGTTTTAAAGTTGCTCCAACTTTTTTACGTGAATATACACACAAAATGCTGAAAATCAACCTGAAAAGACAGATTATAGACAGGAGAAAGAAAAAACAGGATTTAGTAACGATTTATGAGAATGAGTTAAACGTGAAAAATGATTGACCAGGGGTAAATGCCACAGCTAGGGTTCCTGCACCTTCAGGTCAATATAATCCCATGCCTTTTCCGTGACTTTTCCCATGACTTTTCCACGACGAAATCGTGAAAAAGGAACAGAAAAACCAACAAAACAATATCCGTACATGCCAACTTGTACATAAAGGCGATTTTCTTTTTAATCCAAAAATGTGTCCTGATACAGCAGTTCCAGTCCCACCGTTAAAGCTACAGTCCATCATTTGTAATTTGTGCATTTTGTTCGTTTGAAGCAACAAAAGAGTTCAAAATCTAATGAAGGATACTGAGCAACTAACCTGATGAAGTTTCAGCTAAGCTTCAGCTGTACATTCCGAGAAAAACAGCATTCTAAGATCTCAATTTCAAATCCAAAGTTACTGAATCATGTTTTGAATTGTTTTGAATTGCAGCTATAAGCGACGTCGCGCACTGATCCGACGAATTATAACAACCGCGCGCGTGTGCGTCGTTCCAATACTTGTGCGCGCTGCGCTGAATAACAAAACGAACTACTAATTTAAATTTTCCTACGGTGCTTCTTAAGAATCACCGTTGGAAATGCCTTCTTTCGTTGATTACTTCAAAATGACAGCTTGCCAGAAAGAATAATTTCACAGGGAGTTTAGTCCCCTTACTATCTTTCAACCAAGTTTGTTTTTCAACAATAATTACGCCAGTTACTTTTCGGATGGCTGCAAATGATGGACTATACCTTTAAAAACATAGATAGGCTATGCCTTCCTTAAACCCGCAAAAATCCACTTGAAACCATCTGATGGATTTTGACGGATCTGGGTGAGGGGAAAAAAAGCAAAGCAAAAAGGGGGGGAAGGAAAGAAACCGTGCTGAATCATGTACACAACAAATCAGTGTACAGTAGAACTTCACTATGACAAACACGCTGGGGTCCACAAATGATTGTTCACCATAGCGGTCGTTCATTATAAGCGATTTTCAGCCACCATCGTTCAATATTGTCATATGTCAAATTTGGGAGTCAAGGATATGTATTTTTGATGCAGCCAAATGTTGGGTATACCGGTAGATGTGTGCGTTATAGCGGAGTTCTACTGAAAGGAATTGTTACTTTGGTGCTATCACACATATATGAAATGTGCTTTTAGGGTTGAAATAATTATTTTAGCTAAATATACCACGAAATCGATAACATTGCCATAAACAGCAATGAGAACAATCTGCTGATAGGTCCAGTAATTTAGTCACACACATACAGCCAAAAAAACCTTTAGAGGAAACCTTGGAGATCAAATGCGATTTCGTTCAAGTAGTCTTACAGCTCTACTAAGCAAGTATCTACAGAAGTAAAAAGCGCAGAAACCGTAAACCACGTACCTTCCTCCCACCAGCGTGTGCTTTGTCAATGGTTACTTTGACGTCGTTCGCGAATGCCTCGCCGGGGTTCTCTGCCTTGCAGTGTTCGCCTCGGAACATATCCGGGGGTGGCACCTGCAAATGTGACAAGAATTTCATCCAACAAGTTCAACAAGACATTTATTACAGCAAAATAAAAATAACAATACGATCATACTGCACTGTGTTAAGTGCAGATAAAAGACTAAACTAACTGCTCCATACAAGTGACTGCAGTTTATCAGCTGATGATTAGCCTTCTTAGAGGCTGTGGGCTCCATGCGCCAACAAAAGAGGGCGCGTTTGGACGGGACACCGCGTGTGCGCACTTTAATTCACGCGCAAAGTACGCACGACCTGTTTTTATCCTGAATGTGCACAAAGCCAAGCTACAGCGTCTTTGCGCGTGAGCGTCAGGCGTCGTCAGCGGGCGAATACGTTCGCACAAAACGTGCAATGGTCTCCCGGACTAATCCCCGACCCCAATAACTTTGGATACATTACAAGTCCGCAGTGGATGGACCGGAAACCAGCCTAGGTCTCTCCCAACTCTCCTTTTCTGGCCGTTGATGGGGTACTTGTGCACGGAACCCATAGTCATGATATCGGTGAAATCTCTCACATTATTAGAATTTTGTTCTGTTTAAAGTTTACATTTTGATTAACCCTAACGCCCCCCTCCCTGAAATTGCTAACTGAATATGCATTAAATAATACATGGTTTTGTTGAAGTTTGTAGCTTTTGTTGAAGTTTGAAGGCAGAGAGTTTGAATGAGAACTCACCACGTGGACCCACTTCTTTTTGGCGTCTTTGCCCAGCAGTTTGTGCTTGTAGGGACTGATGGCAAGAACATTCTGAAGGTGGCCGTGGTATGCACTATCAAAATAAAGAAGTGAAATAAGGATGTGATGTTTACATGTTTAAACGAAAAGCTAAACGAAACCCGAATTATAAAAGGGACCTGCGTTCACGTGATCTTCCTTTGAGTTAAACATACACAGCACAAATAATAAACGATGTTTTCAAACCTTTTTAATTTACGAAATCTAAGACGCACTGCAGTACTTGATTACATTTAGGTACTGATACATGGGGGCTGTATCATAAGTCCGACACCTCAAAGGTCCAACGCCCCATATGCGGCGTAGGTCCGACACCTCATAAGTCCGACGCCTCATAAATCCAACGATGGACAAATGCTGTTTCGGACTTATGAGGCGTCGGAGCTATGAGGCGTCAGACTTATACAGTGGCGGACCTATGCGGCGGAATAAATAAATTTTATGCCTCATCAGTCCGACGCCTCATAAGTCCGAAATTTCACTAGACACTAGACAGTTTGTGTCCTAGAAAAACTTGTTCTGGTGGTGTGATTTTCAAGCTTTGTTATTGATTTCGATGGAGCTGATCCTTTTGTGCGTGGGAGTTGGCACGCAAAAATTACCAATCAATGAATTGATTGTCGTCAACATGTGGCATCGACCAGACCAGAATACATTGACAAAAATAAGTTGTTTACCATGCAAGCCCGACACTTTATGAATTGAACACTTTATGGCCTTCATTCAGCTTTTCAAAATTTGTGTATGCGTCCTTCCAGAGGCCTCCCATCACAAGAATGGGTTTATCCCGTAAGGTTTTGTCAATTTTTCCTGTCTATTCAATAAATGATTCCTATTCATTCTGAAAACTCAGACACAAATCCTCAAGGATACATGTTCAAGGGAATTAAGACATTTGCAAACATCAAAAAAACAAAACTACCAAATTATTAGGAAATACTTAACTGGACTGTTAGTGAATGACAGACTAAAGCATCCCGTAAAATCATGGCACCTAGTGTGCTGACATTTTTGAGAAAAGTGGTATCAGTTTCCAATGCTGGTCGGCCAACGAGCGTTGAAACAAATGGCTTTTTTTCAATTACTGACCCCCAATTTGTGCCATTTAGTTTAAGTCCACATTTTCTTTGCAATCGGTTACACACCTATGAACGGGTACAAGCCAGCTAGACTGGTTCCCTGACCTTACAATTCCCTGACGTCTATAAATTGCCCCGGTTCATCTTAAGTGTGGTCAAGGAACCAGACTACAAAAACATGATTGTTTTTCTTTGTTTTAACAGCATCTGCGAATACTAAACGTCAAACAAGTCAATGCAACAATACTTGCTTAAAAATACTAACCCCCAAATCCATCCATTTCTGAAAATTACAGCAAAAGCAAATGATGTATACTCCCTTTAAACAAGAAATTATGTTGTTTAAGATATTACGTTTTACTTTTGCTTCCGATTAAAATCAACAGGATTTCATTTGTCGACTGTCGAATGACAAACAAAAGTTGTAAGTATCGTTGGTATACTGAATAGGACTGGGAACTGGTACTAAACTCCACATTTTTGGCCGAACAAATAATAGTTGTTATTTCATCTGGCATGGCTTCAGTGCTAAAAATTGATTATTATATTATGACTAGGTCCCTTGAACAGCTGTTGTGTGGAGCAGACTAACAACATCTGTGGCTTGTACACTACAGGCCAAAATATTACTAAGCACCATACAAGGTTGATTTCGTCTGGACTTGTAACTGGGTCAACTACATGTGCACCTGGTCAGTCTAACTGTGCCACACATTTCACACAATGCAGTGATGAACTGTAGATGTCTGTATGTATGTCTGTGTACGGACAGAAGCAGGCTTTTCTGCTTTTTCAGTTTTTTTAAGTACATGTATGGTTACATGTAAAGACAACAGACAAAAAACGAAAGTTTCAAGTTGATCTGATTTAAGATTATACAAAATCTTGCAAGTATACCGGTAATAGAAAAAAATTACAAATATATAAAATCAATTGATGTCATCATGAAGTCACCAGTTGTATTTTTGCAATATATTCTATGTATTAGTTTCACAATTTTTTACAAAAGAACCTTGTATACCGGTACATGTGCTATTCATAATGTAATGGTAAGAAAACTTGGTTATATGCTTACTGGTCAAGAGTGATGACATCTTTGTGGCCGGTGTATTTCTGTGCCAGCTGGATTGCCAAGTCGTTTGCTTCCGAGCTTCAAAACAAACGCCAAAATACAAACAGTTAAACAAGGGAGAGGTTTCTGAAAGAGACAGCGAGTGAACAGTCGAATCTGTTACAGACCAATGGGCCTTATTCACGAGTCGGCCATATTGAATTGGAAGTTAGGTAAAATCTTGATTTTGGGAACATGCGAAGAGAAATGAAAGCAAGTTCATTTATAATAAATTCCAGTCTGCTTCAATGAATAATTTAAAGTTTGTTATTAAACATTCCCTAATATTTAAAGCCATATTTTAAAAAAAAATGACAGTAAAATAAGGCTGCATTGTGCCTGCATAAATAGTCTGGCGCCATCCCATTACACAGTTAACAATTAATGAAATACATTCAGGGAACTCGACAAAATTGGCCAACTCGTGAATAAGGCCCATAAGCCATTTGCGAGTAAAATTTGAATAAAATCTTGAACGCTGACTTAATCCAATGCTTTGCACGTTTTAACTTTGCATTCTCCCGACCAAAGAGACTGTTACTATATCACGTGAATCGGGGCGAGCCTAAAGCCCGGTTCATACTTCACGCGAATGTGAATCAAATTTGACGTCATGAAACATTCGCTGCGAAATTCGCCTGAGTTAAAATATGTTCAACTTTTACAAATTCGCAGCGCGAATACTTGCCATGACGTCACAAATTCGCATTCGCTTTCGGTTGAGTATGAACCGGGCTTTATGCTAGCAACCCCAAGCATTCTCACCCATTGTGAACAATGTATTGGTACTGAGCGTCTCTTACGTAACTGTGCAAGAGATTGCTGCGAATCATGTGATTAGCAAGAGTGTCTTTGGTCTGGAGAATTCAAAGTTAAAATGTGCCTAGCATTCTGAGCAAGTCAGTGTACCAGATGTTTTTCAAATGTAAATCCCAAAGGTTATAGGTGACTTGCAAATGGCTTATTAATCCACACACTATATATACCTCACACTCACCATACACGTACAATAACATACGTACTGGAATTCGTATCCTTGTGGAGACATCTGTTTGTTCTAAACTAAAATTTTAGAGTGTGTAAATCTAATTTCAACATGCTCCTATTTTAACCAGAATTTATTTCCTGGGCTGAAATTCCGACCAAATATCCCTTGAACATAAAATACTTCAATTTGTGACGGATAAACACACCTTGGAAATTCCTAGTTTTTGAGCAAAATCCATATTTATATCTATTTTGTAAAAACCTTGTGGAGACGTATTCACCTATAGAAATTGCCTTGTGGAGACCTTTACAATCTTTTGTTCCCTATTGTACTCATGTATCCATAAGGTAGTGAATTACGAAACTGCTTCTCAATGAACTAATGAACCAACAAAAATCGCTTGCATAAAGGTGAACCAATATAACAGCACTGAATATAGTTTCCGAAACCTGACAAGCAGAATCAACAACCTCATTAAATTTAACCATGGCCATAAAGCTTCTCCTCCATTTTTTTTCTTATTCCTTTAGGTTGTTGTTTTCTTTATTGTATAACTTACCCAGAGTTCACCAGGAAGCAGACGGATAATTTCTCAGGCATTGTCCTCGTTAGCCGTTCAGCGTACTGCACCAGGGTGTCGTGAAGAAATCGGCTGTTGGTGTTGAGGATGGCCATCTGCTCCGCGGCCGCCTGAACCACTCGTGGGTGGCTGTGACCGACTGTAAAACAATGGGGGGAGAGGAGATGCACATTTGATTTTTAAGCCACTAGCCAAGATCACAATTTCGTACAGGCTGACCGGATATGGGTCATCAGGGAGACTTTCCCATAGCCTTGTGCACACATTTTTTCCAACTTAAATGTGCCCTAATCCAATCGTATCTTGTCCTTTTCCCACAAATTTCGGTATTTTTACTAATTAGACCACGAGCAACAAAATAACCTAATTGCGATGGTAAAATTTTGCATTTTAAGGGGGGGGGGGGCTGTGCCATTAGGAGACAGTTATGTGTCTTCCTTATGACCGGTGTCTCCCTATTATAAAAAAAATAACAATAACGTGTCTCCCTAATGGTACACTTAGTAATATCATTATCATTATAACAGGTTCTTACATAGCGCTTTTAACTAAGATCAAAGCGCTTTACATCATTTATTACCCATTGGGCCAATTAAACATACCAAATACCATCTCTAAATTTTTCTATACTGATAATGTCTTTCTCTCAGATCAAAAAGTCTGATTTCAGACAAAAGTCTGAAAAATCTCATGCCTGAATCTCTCACGGCATATAGGGAAACCAGACCTCGGTATTTCAGATTTATTAAAGACGGAAGTTAACTTTTGTTTGAACAATAGCAAATATATGGCTTTAGATTTTGTTCTTTTTTTTCGAAAGACTTCTGTTGGATTTTGCTGACATGACCTATGATTAATCACCACTGTCAGCAGAGCGATCAACGGCAACAAAGCAACAAAACGAAAGCAACAAAATCCATTGTCTGATTCCCCAAACAAGGAATCCAAGGTTTTTACAACAGATTGTATTTTGCAATCCCTGAACCTTAACCCTCCTAGCTGCTTGAACAGTCACAGACAGTCAAAAATTCCATCCACTTCCCATGCCCTGCCTTTTACACAGGCTAGTCACCAACAGTCAGATCGTACTTAAAGCAAGCACTCTGGCTAGTCAAATTCAGTCAACAGACAAAAGCAAGAAACTGGTGGGCACAATCACCCTCAGTCAAAAGCACAGCTGTGTCAAGTTACGTAAACAGTTACAGCCAGTCAATCCTGCTTTATGTGGGCTGGGAGCTCTTAACTGTTAAAAACGGTCACTTGAAGTTGACAACTTGGCAAGAATGCCTTTTGGCATAGGAGGGTATCAGTAGGTAAAAGAAAAAAACAAAACTGCACCGATGGGGACAATTGAGTGCAGCTTCTACATGTAGTTTCACAGAAGGAAGTATGAATCTCACCATGACAAACGTTGTTGATGCAATCCAGATATGCATTTCCTTGTTCGTCGTACATGTGCTGACCCTTGGCGCGGACTATCTTGAGGGGGCGAGTAGGGTACCATAACCTGCAGGCTTCACTGAAGGAAAGAGGGACAAACAAGCAAACAGGTCACCTGGCAATCTGACCTCCGAGCTGCTTGACTGCATAATTAATGAACAGTGACTGCAAGTTCATTGTATGCAAATTCAGTCTACATGCACAGTACATGGAGGTCAATCTGCCCACAATGGAACAAAATAAACAAGACCTAACTCCTGTACATATTGAAGCTATTTCCTCCACAAATGTAACACATACCGGTACATGTACATGTATGTACCACCCATGTACCACCCATGTGAAATTACATTGACTATTATTGTTGCTTGTTACAACAACTGATAAAAAAACACCACAATTTAGATTCCATAATTATATACACAACATGTATGCATTCAAGTCATGTAAGGCCAAAAAAAAAATAAGTCGGTCTCTGGTCAGCGCGCGCGTCGATTTTAAGCATGCGCGTCGATCTTCTTTTTTTTTTTAAATGTTCCACGGTAGCTCCAACAGCGCCCTCAATTTTCGCACCTCCTCAATTTTTTTTTACCAAAGAGCACCAAGGAATGGGAAATTGCACCAAGGCAAATGATCGAAAGCACCAAGGCAAATTATGGAGGCCACCAATGTACATGAGGACACCAAAAAAAGCAAAATAGTACCCACCTTGTCTGTACAATCCAAGCTGAAGAAAAAAAAAAAAAAAAAAAAAAAAAAAAACCGCGTGGCCGCGTCAATTCCGGAACTTTGGTCTGACCAGAGACCGAATATTTTTTTTTTTTTTTTTGGCCTAATACTGTACACATATAACCACAAGCCTACAATACTTCATTGTGATTTTTTCTGGTTTTTTTCCCCTCGTTTTTAAAACTCTTATAAGATGTTTTATGAGATTATTTTAACATTCTTATAAGATTCCAGTATAATTCTTATGAGATCTTACTCGTTTACATATAAACTACTCACAAGATTCTTATAAGATTCTCATAAGAAAGATTATACGATTCTTATAAGACTTCAAAACTTTAATAGCGTACATAAAATTCCATAGGGTTGTCTAAGGGGCGTGGCTTACTCGCAAACGGTGATAGGTCATTGTCCCCCCCCCCCCCCCCCACAGCAAAAGCCATGTGGATTTTTATGGAAGTGTGCCCCCCTAGTTGGTGCTATGGCCCCCAGACGTTCAGGGCTGCGGTCAGGGCTGCACGGAACTGACAGCATATTAGTAACCCGCTCATGCATAATCCTAGAGCATGTACTGGCCTACGTGCACATTCACTGGCCTACATGCACATTTAATGCATGATTTTGCAATGCCCCATTACAAGGCCATAGTTATATCTAAGGGTTTCTAGTGATACAATGGTAACATCTGCTGAAGTGTTTATATAGCCACCCAGTAAGACCTAACTCTTTGAACTTCTACAGTGCAATATAGTTCAACTAAATCTTGTTTTATGCCCACAGACAACACACAGTTTGCACTAACCCAGACTTTGGACTCGAGATCAGCCCTATTTCAATAATCATATTCTTTGCGTGTTTGCTATTTTTAGAAGGATGAGATAGGTACACATGCATTTATGCAATATAGCTTTACATAATCACTCTTGGAGATAATAGCTTCATACATTATGTACAATGCTTTTTATATTGTTATATTTCAACTTTGTCCTACAACAGCTGCCTAATATTGGATTCTATTTTAAAAAAATGGAGAATTAGAGATTTAGCACCGTTGACATATCGAAGTTACTCAATTGTTCAATATTATTTTGATATCGATATTGCCGATAGCAATTTTTTAATCATTATCAAAATATCGAAATTTTCGATATTGAGGAAGTATTTAGAAAATATCAAAAATGCGTCAGATTATCGTCAAAATAAATCTCCCGTTTGTGCTTTTACTTTATGTTTAACATTTACTGTATAATGAAATAAAACTCAGCGGCAACTTGTGCTTGTGACTCAAAATAAAAACATTTGCGAAATGCCAAGCGGCGTCGCTTTGTGCTCTGCGTTCGCTGGAATTCGCAGCCTCTTAAATGTAAATCTCAAAAGAAACCGCCCATATAATGGTACTGGACAAACTAAGGCCAAAAAAAAAAAGTCTCCGGTTTCTGGTATGCGCGCACGTCGCCGTAGCCATGCGCGTTGGCAAAATGAAAAAGTTTTTTTTTCAATGAAAGATGATGTCTCAAAACCGCCAAACTCACTGGTTTGACTGGAATCCTGCTGCTGCACAATTTTAACGTGTTTTTAGGTGGGGTCATGGTCGAGAATAAGCTTTATGTGGCCTCTCTGGACTCCCATATATTTGCACTAAGTTTAGTCGGGCACCATTTGCAGAAAAAAATTCAGGTAAAACAAAAAAAAAAGCCGCGTCGCCGCACCACTTTTTGGGCAAGCTCCATACCAGAAACCGGAGACTTTTTTTTTTGGCCTAAAGATTGATTTTTTTTTTAATCAAAGTTTCATCTTTATGGTCTTTAACGTTTACATGGGATATATGAAATATTCTCGATATTGGATTTCCGATATATATCAATTATTGAAAATTCTGATAATAACGGTGCTTACTGGAGATTTGACATAGAATTTCAAGACAGGTGATAGTAGTGACTACTATTTACAATTAATTTGGAATGATTTTATTTAAGAAAGAATTAAAACAGCTACCCAAAAAATGAATTCATTATTTACAAATTTTTTTTAAAGCAAATACTGAAAACTCATTATAACAGGAATGACATCTGATACCATATTTTAAGAGCTCTCATGATCCAGAAAACATACGGAATAAATGCATGGCAGTTTTACTGGACACTGGACAGTAATTGCATATTATACAAATATTGAATGCTTCGAGTGGTGTAGTAAAACTAGCCTCCCGAGGTGATCCATGGACATTTTATTTTCCCGAGGCGAAGCCAAGGGAAAATAGAATGCTCCATGGATCCGTCACCGAGGGAGGCTAGTATTACTTCACCACGAGATAAAGCATTCAATATTTGTTTTATAACACTTCACCCACAGATTCTGCTTGGTTTTAAGATTTTAAATTACTTAAATCTGAACACAGTTGAAATAGACTTCAATTTCGATGGTGGAAAATGTATTTCTCTCTTCCAAACTACCCCTTCATGAAATGTTTGAACCCAACTCTGTGGCGCGCTCTCTTTGGAACAAAACGCGCTACGCACAACGCGCACACCAGCATGCATTTGCACACAAATACCTCGCCGTGGAAATAGTACTTTGGTTGCTAATGGTATAGTACTTTGGTTGCTCTGGGCATAGTACTTTTGGCCGTGCACAGAATGATAGCAAAAATAGAACCTAGAAAATATGTGACCTGCTCTCGGCCAATCAAGACACAGAATCTGTGGGTGAGGTGTTATAACATCTGATAGCACGTATGTATATTATTCACAAACACTTTGTTCAATCATACTAGTCCAATGCATTGTGTACCTGCAACAATGTGCAATTATTTTTTTCGTACAGATTGGTGAGGAGGGGCTAAAATATGATTTACTGGCAGATGTTAATAGAAAAAAAAGTCCCCTAATATTATAGTGCTTGTTTTAGTGTAATTGGACATGTAGAAGTTTAAATATATAATTGTCCACTATCTTTATTCAGTTGGAAAAAAATGTATTTAATAAATTTAATCATTGCATTGGTTTGGTAATTATGGTCAGTTTCATTTGACATTTCATTTTTTGAGATTTTTGTTCACATAGCTTTTTAGTAACACGATGTACATGCAAGTTGCACTGAGTGTGCTTTCAATGTTTTTATGATAATTATGTCAATTTGAAGCATGTACTCACCCGATATGTTTTCTGCGCAGTTCTAGTGTCTTTTCCTTTGGAAGCATTTCCATGTTTGTGATCTGAGTAGGCCTAACATAGAAACAAAAATAGATTAGCAAACCTAATAGTCACTTTAGTTTAATCATCATGATCATCCATTGTGAATGTGATCGATCAAATTCATGGCCCCACACATGCACAATGAAGCCCCAGACAACAATGAACAATGCCTCAAAAAGTAATGCACTTGTTCATCATGTTCATGTCGTACGTACGTTTATTCTCACCAACGATCACCTTTTTATCACATTAATCATGTTAATATAAATCCAATGACAATGAGTATCAATCGAAATCTTAAACTGGGAAATTATGGTTTACCTTGTCACGAATAGTCTATTGTTGTGAGTGGACACTGATGACGAACCAAAAACGATCGTTCAGTACTGCACGACAAAAGTACCGATGCGCTATCTGAAAGTGAAAATAGAACAAAAATAACAATATTAATAATAATATTATTAACAACAATGGAACACGATCATGACGGTGCCGTTTTGTTTTGAAGATCATCAAATTTGTTTGATCATCTCTGAAAAACTGATCATAGCCGATCAAACATCCATCATTTTTGTCCATAGTCAATCATTCCATGATACCTCAGCTGGCCAAATCATATTGTAAATTCTTGCCGCCGCTTTATATACACGATCGCACTGTCGTCATGCGTCGCAGCTGTAACTTAACATATGATTCATAGACTTCACCAAGTGTATTATTGTGCGGTAAGACACTCAAATAAGTCAAAAGACACAAACCTCATTAGAAAACACAACCGAGCACGTGCTCTTGTTTCATTCAAGTTAGGACATTTAATTAACTTGAATCAATATCTCGATTATCTCAGTCATTAGGATTATACGCGGTATGAAACTTTGTAAGTTCAAATGCTACGGCGACTGATACAAGTTTAGCTACTTGATTATTGCATGTCTGTCACATGCGCAATCAACCGTCCGGTGAGAAAGTCACATGAACAGCTGATTTGCATAGCCAGACAAAAACGGCCAGGGCGCCGGCGCGCGGCTCGGATTTTACATAATCCTTCTTGTGGATGGTGTGGTCAGTGCTGCCAACAAAATCTAGGGAATTGCACAAACATTTGTGTGTCCGAAGCTGTGCCAAAGGCTTTTTGCGGCAACGTTGAAGTATATTATCACCTTCCCACTCCAGTGGCGCACCCAGGATTTGGTGGGGGGGGGGGAGCTCACAATTTTTGTGTCAAATTTTTAAAAGTTAAAATTTGTCAAAAAATTCTGCCAAAAATTTTGGCCGCAGAAAAAAGTAGGGGGGGGGGGGGTTTAGGGGGGGGGGGAGGGGACGGTCTATTTTGACGTTGGTGGCGCCACTTACACCTCTATTTTACTACTCGAAAATAGGCCTAGACCTGCATATCACCAAGGTCATATCGTGAACCAAAATAAACCCTGACAACCTCTTGGGAGGGCTTAAGCCCCCGACCCCCCCCCCCCCCAAATGTTTTTTGAGGAAAAGATGGTGGTGTACTCATTGCCTGCCTTTATTGCGACGTCACACACACACACAAAATGGTTTCGTTTTTTTTTTGGGGGGGGCATGGGGGGGGGGGCATGGGCCTCTTTGCCCACCCCCCCCCGGATCCGCCCTTGATATTAAGTTGTAAGTTCAGTAAGTGATCAATCAGTGTTGATGTCTTACATAAGGAGATTAATAACCCTAAAGGGGCCGGGTTATTTTGACCATCTCTCAGTCGGGGGGTGGGGGGGCCTAAGATCTCGGCTAAAGAGTGACGAAAAATTTTGAAACTCGGTACATGCATAAAGCAACTCTTCATGAACATACCCAAGAAACTTCATGACCATAAGTCAAGAGGTTTTGGAATTATGGCTAATTAATCATTCATATGTATGAATGGCAATTCTGGTCTGTGTACACGACGTATATGGGAACATTGAATTTTCCCGGCGCCTAGCGCCCTCCGGAAACATTTTCGCTGCGCGACAACCCCTGGTCTCGAAGCTAAAAAGTCATAAAAGCTCGGGTTGCGAAATAAATTTTTTTAAAGGCTATCGCGGAAAAAGTCGAGGGGGGCGGATTCCGTCCCCCCCCCGGCCCTTTTAGGGTTAAATTTCGTGAGAAACCGTCAACAAATAAAAAATTCTTTCTAGAAAGGGCGCACCGCATGCAAAGACGTACGTACGCACGCCGTAAAATATTCGTTCAATAGAGGGCGCGCCACATAAATAGTGGTCTCAACAGCGCATCAACACGGATGCTGCACAATTGAACGAAAACTGAACAAACTCGTTTCCGATGAACTATTCAAGAAATACAAAATGGATTAAATTGAAATTTCGTGCAATTAGTTTTCACGATGTGTAGCATAAGTAGTTCGAATGGCGTGAGAAACCGTGGAGCTATAAATATAATATGATCGTAACAATCTAGTGTTTTAAACGTTAAGAATCCATGTTGACTTCCATTGGGATTGTATTTGTCGCGATTTAAACCCTGTATTGTTACGGTCATAATAGCTTGATTAATTGACTTTTTTTTATAAAATTAAATCTTTTGATGTCAAACATCATGACAAATAAGTGTACGAAAATTCATTTTAATGGAATGCGTATTTCTTGAGTTATTGGCCCAATATCGAGTTTGGTGGTGGAGATCGAGACCACTATAATGACTATAGTGGCTTTTTATTTGCAAAGGAGTGTATTAATTTCATGAGAAACCATCAAACAATAAAAAAGAGCATACCCGAAACAAATATAATATTTAAATGTGAAAACTACAAACCAAATGAAAAATGAAAGTCAACGTCCATGGAAAAGTAATAATACACTCGTTGTTTGAGCAATAACCCGAGCTCACCAGATCCAGAACACAATTTTTTTTGGGGGGGGGGCAAAAAAAAAAATGTGTCCCCCAAAAAGTGGGTCAAAAAAATTACGGGGTAGTGTTCGGGGTCCGAAAAACCTTTGGATTCTAGATGCTCTGTGGTGCGATCTGAGACAATTATTTCTGACCACTTTAACCAATGTTTTTGGAGATAAAAATGATGGTGTACTCATTGCCTGCCTTTATTGCGGCGTCACATAAAAAAAAAATGGTTTCGTTTTGAATGGGGCCATGGACCCCTATGACTTACTTTTAAAGTTGGTATATGGCCTACGTGCTAAATTTTCTAGCTTGCTTTTGCAGGCCTTTATATTCAGTTTAAATATTTGATTTTAAATGGCGCGCTGCGGTTCAGATATTTCGCTCACTAGTCAGATCGAATTAGGAGCGTCCCGCTATTATTTCCAAAGCTGAAATTAATTAATTGATTGCTTGTCATAGGCCGATTTTTTTTTTAGTGCGATGTCTCATTAGAAAGCTCATTAAACTAATGTAATGCTAGAAAATTATCAACTCAGTTTGAAAAATTATCCTTCAAGATTCCATCCCCAAAAACCACGTATACACTAACTTTGTAAATAAATATCAAAATCTCAAAATGTCCGATGAACCTCCTCACTTTTTCACTGTGGTACTACATGTCAAAATTATGTCATATTTTTTTATTCTTAATTAAATAACCATGTTGTTTATCAATGGAATTCAACTAAACGTTCATATCATGTCGACAAGGCACGACAAATCATTGTATGGGGGAGAGTTTCATCAGCTTTTTTTTTCGAGAGGGTAAGATTTAACGCTTTACGAAAAAATACTCCCTTTCAGAGTCGAAACAGCACCGCAGGAGACGGCGGCGGAAGGCGCGTGCTGCGGCCGAAAGCTTCTAAACAAAATGCAGGGTCACCCCCGATGTCATAGCACACCAACTCGATCATGTGTTGCGCGAAACGATAGAGGAGGTGCAGGCACTGATCCAGGGGTGAGGGGTGTTTTGGGTCAACCCCGCCCCCCCGCCCCCCCCCCCCGGTACCGCCTTTTGATTTTCGGAGGCCAAGACTAGTGTCCGGAGAAAAACCTTGTCTACAGTTCAGATTTTTTTTGCCGATGAACCCCGCCCGCCCTGCAAAAATTCCTGGATCCGCCCGTGGTGGGGTTTGGCGGGGGGGGGGGGGGGGGTTCAGGTCCGTCAGATCATCAGGCCCGTCAAATACATAATAACCGCTGCAGAATAGCTTTACTTTTTTGTGTCATAGCAGGGGAGGGATTCGACCCCCCAAAACCTCCTCTGGATCCGCGCCTGCATGTAACTGACAGTAAAAAGCAAGTCGGTAAAACTAAAAGCCCCATGTACATGTAATGGTTTTCCCCCCCAATTCAATCCTTAATGTACATTCTTGTACCACTTGACTTTGCTTTTCATTTTGTATTTCCAGTTGTAATGGTGATGGGGTTTTTTTTCTTGCGTTTTTTCCCCTATTTTGCGAATTACTATATTTGTTGGGAATGTTCACAATTAAAGAAACGTTATTGAAAGATGTAAATAATGTTTATATTACAATGTACACCTTTATTTTTTTCCCCCGGTATCATATGGCGTCAATTGGAAATTGCGCCATTAAAGGAAACATGCAGTCCAAAATTTTCATAACGTATTTTATTTTATATATACATTCATTTATGTGTATTAAATGTGAAATAAAAGCAGAACTGGTTCTGGTGTACGTTTAGTGTGGTAATTTGCCGTCCAAAATTGAACCCCCCCCCCTTTTTGATTTTCGCGGCAACTCCAAATGAGGGCGCTGTTCATGACATAAACAAAGGCAGAGAAATCCAGGGCCCGTAAATGACGTCTGGGTACGAGACGGATTAGCGAAGCTACTGTGCTGTGTGTATGTGCAGCCGCCGCGTACCCGTACGTGGCATTATAAAATTATGCACACGTACGAATGTGTCTACATGGGATATGTACAGTACACGTGGACGTGCCACGGTGCCACCGTTGTCGAATGAACACGACGACCGTCATGACCGTAAAAGTTCCGAAGACCGTCCTCTTCTTTCCTTAGCGAATCCGATGAAAATGGTACAGATTCGTCCGATTCGAATCGGAGTTCTAATGATTCAGACACTGACTCGATGTTTCTTTAGGGGCATGCCCAAGTTGCTGTACAGACCAGCATCAAAGCACGACGGCTCAAAGTGCAGCGCAGAGGGCAGCGAACTCATTGGGCCCGGACCACTTTGCTCTGGTATTTACCTTCACTTTGGCTCTCCAAATGCTCCGATATTTCGGATTTACTGGAAATGAAGGCTTACTCCATCCTTGGTAGTTTTGCTACACCCAGCAGCCACACACCTTGTCGGCATGGCCGAAAATCGGGTGTTATTTCTCCTCGATTCCGAACGAAACACCAGAAAAACTTTCAGTGCCGCAATGTATATGTACATGTATTATGAAGCACGCCGCAATGCCGGTGCCCCCGCGAAGTTTTATGTTAATGAAGCTTCCCTTTGTGGGGCGGAGTAGTTTGACCAAACATGTTCACAAATTATTTTCCCCCATTTATCTTAGAAAATAAACACCGCCATACACAAAATATTGTTAAGAACATCATCCTTTATTGATTTAAGCAAAAAAAATGCAATCAAAAATTTATTTCATGTTCCCTTTAATAATGGTAGTCATATTGATCGAACAAAACTCCTTTTTAATCATAGTCAATTATGATTCATTGATTCATGACATAGACCTCTGTTTTCTTTTTCAAAACTACCGTACATCTGCCGAGCAGATGTAAAAATCA